TATTCTTCTTGCATTATTTAATTAGATGATAAAACAATAGAAACATACAAAAATATTGATTATTACTCAATATTATACAGAAATATAAGGAATACTCCTTAAGTGGGCGGGGCTACCAGACTCTCTCCTACTTAACATAAAAACATATTTATGTTAAATGCAACTGAAATAGTTGAGTAAAATTTTAAATATTTCCTAAAATCTAGACCAGGCTAAATGTGCAAATAATAATATACTATTTTGTCACAAATTTATGACACATTCATAGCTGCCAACCTTAGGAATAAAAAATTAGGAACACTATATGTGACAAAATTATACGCACCAATTAAGAGAGTAAAACAAAAATTTAACTATTAAATAATAACATTAAAACCCATTAAGTGCCAAGTCTCCCATTCTAGGAACCTTTGTTTAAGAATTTTTTCCTCGCTGAGTAATTCACATGCATATTTTTTATATTTATTTCTCGACTACTGAAAGTTTTTAGTTTTAATAGAAATTTTTACAGAAAGTTTGAAATGTAAATTGTATGTATAAAATTTGCTTAAATTTGATCAAAATCTCTTCTTTTAACTTCAAATGAAAATTATTTCAGAAAAAAATAATTTTTCAAGTGGAGAAATTTAAAAATATTGAATATACAAAACAATTGTTCTGTCTTCATATAATCAAAAGCAGAATTTTAAAAAATGGATTTAGAACGATTTTACAGATGTTCATTTAAAGAGGTCCCGAAATGGCATATTCTGACTAACCCCACCCTCAACACATTTACAAAAAGGTTTATGGATTCTTCCTTGTCATACTTAGTGCCCTACTCTTTTGTTGTTGAAGGTCAAATGTTATCAGTACAGGTGTTAAATTACTCATTATGACCCCTCCCATATTCTATTCTGTTACATAGAATGTTTTAAAATGTAGGATAAAAAAAAATTTCGCAATATTTTGATCTGATCGTTTGGTAAGTGTGGTTCTTTTTTTTTAAGGATCTTTTCAAAAATGCCTTGCACTTTTTTAACTGTCAGGGATGAGATTAGCCAAAAGGCAAAAAAACTGAATTTTCACGATAGTAAATTTTACGCGAGCGCAACCCTTTAATAATAAATTCCAGACAGTTTAAGGTAATAAATGATGTGTTGACATACCATTGTGTACTAATCTATTATTATAAAAACGATTACAGTGATACTTAACATTTAGTGAAAAAAAAATTACCAATTGAAAAAATAAAGCTGGAAATTATATTTTTCCTCAGTTCACATAAGATACAGTTATTACTTGAAAAACTACCTGGTTTAGCAAATTAAAACTACTGAGAATATACATTAATATTTCATTTCTTTTAATAAATACTGTTATGTGATTTATAGCAAATATATCAGTAATATTACTTATTAAAGTATATTGGAAAAAAAACTTTAACAATGGACCGAATCATTATGTTCATATTATAGTCTAATCCAGAGCCCTCTGAAACATATCAATAACAGTGAAGTAGAAATATATAGCAACTCCTTAACATACAAAAATTGCTATTTTAGTCTGAAAAATTACATTTTTTATTTGATAAGAATTTTGCATTTTATAGCATAAATAACAGCAATTATAAATAAAATTTTGATGATGAGTTAATTAACTCTTTTTCCAAAAATTTTTTTTTAATTAAATCCCTTTTTAAGTGATTGCTTTTGTTTGCTTTATCTTTTATGTTTGCTATATTTAGTCGTTAGTCCATCTTCAAACATCTTGTGACAAATCCTATTTTTTCTTCTTTGCAAGCACAGAATGTAAGTTTTGAATATATTCCCTTCCAGTTTCTCTGATGTTGTAACACTTACATATACTAATAATCGTCGTTAGAAAAACAGTCACCTTTATAGTAACTAATTTTTTAAAAAAATTTTCTTTTTACTAGAATCGCGATAGTTAATCTTAAAATTGCGTGAATATGAATAACAATTATGGAATTTGAAATCACATGAATATGAAACTAGATATACGATTTTGAAAATGAGAAAATACAAACTGGGATATAGAATTTTTAAAATGCGTGAATACAAATCAAGATTCATAATTTTCAGATCGCGTAAATGCGAATCATGATGCGTAATTTTTAGATTGCATAAATAAGAATTATGATGCATAATTTTTAGAATCACGTATAAATACGGAAATCACATATAAATACGAAAATCAATGTTTGTTATTATAAACCGCATGAGCAAATCAAGACATTGAATTTTAAACTTGCGTGAATATGAATCGCTACATAGATTTTTAAAAAGGCGCAAATAAGAATCACAATATCGGATTTTTAAATCTCATAAATAAGAATCGCAACGTACAATATTCAAATCGCGTGAATAAGAATCGCAACACGCAAATATGAAAAGCTATGTTTGATATTAAAATCGTGTGAATAAGAATCGAGATATTAGCAGATTCCAGGCTTGGGACCTCTAAAAGGCTTGTCAGAAGCAGCATCGTTTGAACTACGAAAACAATCGGATCTATCTGGAGGGCGGGTAAAGAATTCGGAAAATCTTATCTGCTGCGGGTAAAAGGGGAGAAAATAGCTAAAATAAGTAAAGTATTGGAAAGGATTGGTAGCTATGTAGTTTAAATTTTCTGTTTCTCTTTGAAAATCGGTGAATTTTCTGAAAAAGCGGAATACTTATAAAAAAAAAAGTTAAATTTTTAGAAAATTTGAATTTTTGATAAAAAAGCTGAAATTTAAGAGATAAAAGTGAAAAAAGCAGAAATCCTCTAAAAAGCGGAAAAATCTCATCCCTGAACTGTACAGCAGGCATTGGATTATATGGAAAAATTAGATTCTGAATGGAAACATTAGAATTATCAGGTGATGAATGTCGTAATAAGTGCTTACCTCCAGATCTAAGCAAGGTAACTGACGGAGAAGATTTTTAAGAAAATGATTTAGATGGCGTTTTGCCAATAGACGTCTGCGAAGAAGTAAAGCTTAATATAAAATGTCATAAAACACGGGATGTTTCAGGGGAAAAAAAACACCTTTGAGAAAGAGATCTCTCCCTGAAAAGTATTTTTCGAGTGATGAAGATGATTTGCCAACAATTCTAAATAAACAAGTAAAACCTAAAAAATTCGCAAAAATGATGAAATCGGTTTCAGTTATAACAAACGGCGCTGGAACGCAAAAACAAAAGAAATCTAAAAGAAAATTCTGCAATTGGGACAAAGCTGATTAATTGGATTCCTTTCAATCAGAAAGAACACAACTCTTTGAAGAAATTAACCCTGAATTAGCAGGCAAAACTCCGTATGAACTGTGTAAAATCTATTTTGATAATGATATTTTGAATCTGATAAAATAACAGGGTTGCCACTCAAATCTGGAAAAAAAATTCCCTGTGTTTTCCCTGTACTATTATACACAATATATTAAAAGGAAACAACAATTACTGTGCTCTTTTGTGAGCTATATAGGGCTAACTATATTTATTAGTTTTAATTGGTGGGAAAACAGCTGAACATATTTAAATAATGTTATAGTAAGTGAAATAGTTTAGTATAGCTGAAATATCATGGCTAAATATCCCATAGATTACGCTTTGAGTGGGTACCATTTTTTAAAAGACAAAAATAAGAAACAAAATTCCCTGTATTTTCCCAGTTTGCAAGGAAAAAATCAAAATTCCCTGTATTTTCCCAGTTTGCAAGGAAAAAATCAAAATTCCCTGCATTTTCCCGGTTGTTTTAGGTGATTTTTAAATTCCCTGTATTTTCCAGGTTTTCCCTGTTCTCCATGTAGAGTGGCAACCCTGAAGAAGAGGCATTAAGTTACGCTAAGCAAAACAATAATTATGCATTTTCTTTATCCGAAAAGACGTTAGATGTTTTTTTAGGAATCTTATTGTTTAGCGATTACCATTCAATGCGGCAAGAGGATTTATACTGGAGCAATGCAGAAGATCTGTCCTTTATACAAAATGTCATGAGTAGGCAAAACATTAGAAACATAAAAAAGTACATTCATTTATGCAATAATGATACAATTGATACCACCGACAAGTTGGCCAAAGTGAGATGCTTTATTGAAAAGTTTTGTAAGAAATTGTAAAAATTTGGAACATATTTATTTCATATTTAACTTTGTTGATCTCATTAAAACAGATTTTATTATTTTTAACAAAATGTATACAAGTAATGAAACTAAGCATTTAAATTGTAGCGCAATGCGTAAATGAACTATGTTAGTCCCATTAAACGCCAAGTCTCCCATTTTGGGACCCTATCATAAATTTTAACCAAATAATGTTTTTTTTAAAAATAAAAGCTGATATGATTAGAAATGTTTATTAAACCTTCAAACATACGCAAATTCTAATTTTTTCACAAATATTTCAGATACAATATATTATACTAGAGGGCCCCTTGTTCACTGCCACTCATCAACCCCGATAATTGCTTCATAATAATTGCTGTTTCTTGGCAGAAAAGTTTTTCTACTTAAGCTAAAATTATTCACTTAACATATATGTACTAAAAGGCTTGCTTACGCTTCTGTCTCCACTTCCTACATCCAAATATTATTATCTATTAGTATAATAAATATTTAGATCTATTAATGAACAGAAGTAATTTTCTAAGTAGATCTTCAAGTCCTGGATATTTCCCACTAACTTTTTCCCTCCTTAGAAATTAAATGGAGGGAACAATTCCCTCATTAGTAGCTAACTCTTTACATTATTATCATCATCATCAGTGGATCGACTGCCCAGAGTGGGCCTTGGGCCTTCTCAAGAAGTTTCTTTCCAGGCTAACCCTTTTCCTGCTAGTGTTTTCCAGTTTTTAAGACTAAAAGGTCTTTTTCTAGGCCATAAATCCATCTCAAATTTGGCCTGCCTCTTCTTCGTGTGCCAACTGGTCTGGCATTGAAAACTCTTTTTGTGGTACGGTCTTTGTCCATTTTGATAACGTGGCCTGCCCATTTTATTTATTGTTGTTTAATAAAGTTAATAGTGTCAGGTTCATGATATGAGTGATAAAGCTCTAGACTTGGTCTCCTAAGCCACACACCATTTTTTTTTTTTAATTCATCCAAAAATACTTCTCAAGACTTTTCTCTCAAAGGTACCCAACATAGCCTCATCTGTACAAGATATGGTGCAGGTTTCACAAGCATATGTTAAAATTGATCTTAAAAAAGATTTAAAAAGTAAAACTTTTGTTTTTCTATAAATTACATTATATTTTATCTATACATTATGAATTACATTATATTTTTATATACATATTAATACGAATTACATTATATTTTTTAAGTAAAACGAAATTGTCACTAAACAACTTTATATTCTTTAATCTCTAAATGGATGAAGATTGTTTCAGTAAAGAGCAAATATTGCTCTCGTTTAGCCTTAAGTAAAGTGAAATGGAGAGTAAAAAAAATGGTACCTCCAGCAACACTATACCATGCTGCCCCATTGGTAATACCACCCTGGTGAGTGAAATCATCTCCACCACAGCTGATTGGTCTGGTTGCAGCCATAGTTTTATGAGCACCAGAATAGATCCCAGCTAAATATCTAAACAAAGAAAAAAATGTTTTTTATTAAAAATTAATATACACTAGTGTACGAAATTAAGAGAATTTGATGACTGGGTCAATTATCTCTAGACAAGGTGGGTGCGTAGCCAAATTATTCAACAAGAAATAAGCACCTTTTAAGCACTTTTCAAGCACTCAAAAAATATTTTTAAGCACTTTAAAAAAATATCATAATTAGGCAGAGTTGGAAAGTTTTTGACAATTGACGGTTTTATCTTGTTTTAACCGGCATGTAAAAAAAAAAACACCTTTTGGCATTGTTTTTGACAATTGTCAAAAATCATAAAATTTTGAATCGTGTAGAACGAATGGCATTTTCATACGCTACATACTGACAATATGTCGAAATAGAATGGGGTTGGATTAATTGTGAAAACGTTGAATAGAACAATGTGAACTGTGTCTTTTTGCATAATTCGAAGCGAAAATCAACATAGTAAAGGAAAAATCTAATTTTGAAAAAAGGGAAAATTAAGCACTTTTTTAAAAACACCCAATGAAAAAAACACCCCTAAGGGCTTTTAAAAAAACAAAAATCGAAAATAAGCACTTTTTAAAAACGCTTACGCACCCTGTTTAGAACTACTAAACAGATTTTAATGACATTTGATATGCACATACATTGATACAAAACAATACAAATAACCATTCGAAAATTGCATAGCGGTAAGCACGGATAGGTTCAAAATTGGCTCAATTGGCGGCAAGCACGGTTCAAAATTGGCTCAATAATGGGATGTTTTGTAATATCGGTCATAAAATGGCCTACATTGGTCAATATAGAACCTATATTGGCTAAATAATGGATATAAAATATCAGGTAAATCTGACAGTTCTATGTAGGGCCGATATTGGTTGTAAAATGGCTGTAAAATATCGGGTGAATCGGACAATTCTATATAAGGTCAATATCCGAAAAATAACGGCCTTTTGAACCCTTATTGAGCCAAGATTCCTGAATATTGGTCATGAGGGCTCAAGTTATTTTGCTGATAGGGATATACTTCAAATGTTATGTATTATTTTTACTCACAATTTCAAATATAGTTAGGCATTTAATTCAAAGATGGTAAGAAGATTTTAATTTTAAAAAAAAGTTCTGAATAAAAATAAACTGAACAAAAAATTTCTGAACTGATTTCTATAGATGCTTCATTATGTATTAGTAATACTTACTTAAATATTCAATCAAGCAAACAATAATCTGTACAAAAATTTCATTTCAATAGGGATTTTTTTTTTATAGGAAACTTATTCAATTTTAGGGAATTTTCTGAAGTGTACAAAAACCAGGAGAATTTTAATTAAATCAGTAGACTAGGAGAAATGGACAAAATCCAGTAGTCTACTAGAAAATCCAGTAGAATTGGCAGCTATGCAATTGTAATACAAACGCGTGATCGCATGTAACATTCGTTGGAGTCGGAAGGTATAAAACAGCGGCTGCAGGTAAAATAAAAAAAGGGTTAATAGGCGGTATGGTTCCCTCTTAGATATACAGGCCTTGCTGTGTGATTTCATACTTGAGATAAGGCAGTTTATTATTTCCTGTGGCGCCTGAATTGTCCTGTGGTGACTTCATACCTTCCGACGAGTCTTATGCAAGTGTATTACAATTGTTGAATGGTTATTTGTCTGCATCAATGTATGTATATATTAAATTTCATTAAAATGGGCCCAGTTGTTCCAGAGATAATCGATCAAGTCAGCAAATTCTCTTAATTTTTTACACAAGAGTATTTGTACTGTACAGTGAAGAACATTTAATCCAGAAAACAGGATCAATTTTAGGAGTAGAAAGTAAAACTTATCATACGTCCAAGAATGATCCGAAAATAGCTCACTCCAAAGCTCTTAAGTACTCAAAAAATTTTTACAATGAGATTAAAAAACAGTTAGTTACGATAACATGAACAGAAAAATTATTACATTGTTATATGCTAAAACAATGTGCAGCTTGCTACTCTTATAAATTTTAGCATTTCTTTTAAAGGAATTTAAATTTTACGTGAACCAATAATATACTAATATACCACAGTAAGTGATGAATAAAATTCATCAAGATAGATTTCATTGCATTATTGCAATTTTTAGTTAGGGAATTTTAATACAAAAATGTTTTTTATTTTCAATGTTTAATTTATGTAACTTCATTCCTAATTTTCAAGTTTCATTCAAGTAAAAAAAATTGTTTTAATCTTTTTCTGCCACCTTACAACTTGTGCAAAAAGTCTAGCAATTTAATAAATTATTTTTAAATAGGTGAAAACATAAACGTAATATTGGGGAAAAAATTTTTATGATCTCAGTGCGAAATGAAAATAGGGAAAATTTGTCAGTTCATCCAGCCATGGCACGCAACATCTCAGATTTTGATGAAAATTTGTACACTTATAGAATTTTTTATGCTGATTTCAAAAATATCAATTATATTTAAATCGGTTAAGGGGTTTAAAAGTTATAAGCATTTATATTTTTGCCAAAATGGCACATTTGCCGCCATTTTGATTCATACATCAAAGGCTAATTATGATTGTAACTCACCTTATATTTGTCATAGAGCAATAATTTTTTTTTTATTTCGGTCAGAATAAAGTAATCTGTCATTTAAACGCTTTTTTTCACAAATAAGTATCTTACTTATTTAGTACAAGGGTCTGTTTTGCAGTTTTTTGATCAACGGAGTTGAGTAACTTCAGGAGATGATTTCTGGCAACTTGCCCCCCTTCAATTTCAAAAATATTTTATTCAAAGATAGTTGAAAGTGCAAACTAACATCTGATATAAAAATTTTGATGGGCAGTTCACTCACTTTTTAAAAAAAAATATTCTTCTTATGCATTAAAAGTACTGGTAGTTTGATGATTTATAGTCCTTAATTGTAACTAGAGTATAATAAAATGATGTAAAAAAAAATGCGAACGGTTGAAAAATATGTAAAATAAAGTAATAATTTATTAAATGTTTTTCCCTTCTTTCTTTGAGTCTCCCCTCTTAAAAAAGAAAAGAATGGAGAACATTTTGAGAATGAACAAGACAAACACAATTTCGGCATCAGAAGCACAATTTCTGGCCAGGAATTGCTGAAATTTGTAATTTAGCTCTGTATGTTTTAGCCTGATCTACACTCCTTATGTATGAGGCATATAGTTGAATGTTCCTTAAGATCTAAATTGCTCCTTAATGAAATAAGTTCTATATTCTCAGAAGAAAGTTCTAAAATCTTTTGTGAGTTTAAACTGCACTTAAAATCTTTCAAAGTTAATCCAATACTACATAATACTTGGGTTTTCATAATAAAACTTTTTTAAATATCAAATTGATAAATTTAAAACTTTTGAAAACTTATTTATTTCTATTCTGTTTTAAATGAATGGAAATACAATTTTATTGATTTGAAAGAAAATAAATTTAACATGAGACTCAATTCTGATTGAAACAAACAGAAATGTTCTGGAAGATGATATATTCTGATTAGTCAGATTTCTTTTTTGGGAAGATAGGGATGAAATGTGTAGGGTTCCCACTCAATTTTTTTTTTAAAAATTCAAGGACTTTTCAATGACCTATTCAGTATTATTGTTATATGCTAAAGTACATGTCAACCAGATTTTACAATTATGTAGAAACAGAAATCGTATATTTTAAAATCACAATGCTTATTTGACAACAACAAAAAATTAATTATTAAATTTATCGGCTAATAATACAAATGGTTGACAATTACATTGTCGTTCCAAATCCCTTAAAAAAATTCCAATTGACAAGAAAAAATATAAAAACTCTAATTAACATAGCATACTAGTCAACATTTAAAAACTAGCATCAGTGAAACTTTTCATGAAAAATTTATTTAAGAAGTGAATAAGAATTAATGAATATTTATGATGATATGAATATTTATGATGATTATGAATATTTATGTGATATTTTTGAAATCAGCAGAAAAAATTCTATAAGTGTACAAATTTTCATCAAAATTTGAGATGGTGGGTGCCATTTTGTAAAATCCTGTATGATTTGACGTGGAATGACCCAATAGCTGTCATTTTACAGTGTTTTATATAAATGAGTAGAGTAAAACCCAATTTTATAATTATATAAAAAAAACTGTTAAAAGAACATTACAAAAAAGAACAATGATTTCATTAATGTTACTAAGTTAACAAATCACATACTAGACATATTTAAAAAAAAACACATATTTATTTATTTAATAAATACTTTTATGTAAAATTATTAAAACAATATGGAATACAGATTTCGTAAATTTCATATAAAAATACTTTTTTCATTTTAATCCATACGAAAATTTTAAAATATCTGGCACTTAATACTAAATTCAAGCTATTCTTATAATAATATTCTGTTTTTTTTTTGTTTTTTTTGTCAGTATCTTTCATTATGTCCAGTTTCTTCTACTTTGTTTTTTCCAATGTCTTGAAAGATAGTTTTTTCTGGATTAAATACCAACCCTATAGAAAATTGTGGGGGGAGGGACATGCACAGAAAAAAAGTGGAAGTCGGGTAAGTTAAGGTCATACTACAATTTAGATTATTTTAACCCTTTTGACCCGAATGGGATATATACGTCCCAAAGATTAAACTTTATTCGCTAATGATTCTTGAATTCTTAAAGATTAGATCCTGATTTTGCATGGGTTTTTGTGTTTTCAGAGTTCTTTAGGCATTAGGGAATAAAAATATGACTAAAGGAACTTAGCAGCACTTTCATATTCAGAATCGTGGACTTCTGCTTGCAAGCACACCAGTCAATTTCGTTTTAATTAAAGTATTTTCAGAATTTTGAGGTGAGTACAACTATATTTTTACCACATTTAGTGTAAAATAGTTATGTTTTTTCCTAGTAATAATCGTAATTATTTAGTATTAAATTTAGAAATTTTAACAGATTTTTGTTTTGATTATTTTATAACAGCAACTTCTGATTTCTATAATTTCTAATAAAAATAAATAATTCGATTATATTATTCTCATTATTTATTCCCATGCAATATATAGGTATTTTTGCAATATTCAAGATGATTGGGACATATTGCCCCAGCAGATTTCGGGGAAAACTTTGAACTCATAGCATATTTATTTTAATATGTCAGCATTAACATCAGGGCTCAACTTAGCCTAATTGGGCCATGGGCAAAAATTTCCTTGCGGGCCCCCTCTGCTTCACTACTTTAATAATAAAGAACCAAATTTTATGGAGGTATTTAAATTTTTTACCTCATTATAGATAACAACAAAATTGACTAAAACCTAAAGTAACTATAAAGCCCCTCCAATGGTCCGAGGAAATATTGTTCGGACCATTTTATTAAATTTCTGACAATTCTATGTCTGTCACGCGGAATGCAGTTTTCTGATTGATATCTTTGTCATCTAGCTGCAAAAAAATCCTATCCTTGCTGACATTAGCTATAGTGGAATTCAGCTAAATGTATGCAATTGCGATGGCTCAATTAAGCCAATCAAAAGCATGTATTTTTGTAAAAATATCACATTTTACGATAGCAAAAAATACAGGCTTTTGATTGGTCAATCTTGTCCATCGCCATTGCCAAAATTTAGCTGAATTCTGCCCTAGAAAACCATGAATTTACGAAATATAGATTGTGTTTATACGATAGATTAATGAAGCAGTTAACATAAAACTGACAGATTTTACACAGTACTCATATTTTGTTTAAAAAAAACTTCATTAAAGAAGGAAACATAAAATAAACTTTCTATGATTTGGGGGCACCCTCTAACGTATGCCTCTGACTTAGTTAGACTATGATTAACATAAACTTAAATTTTAATGCTGTTTGAAAAGGTTAAGAATAAAAAGAGAAAAATATACCTAAAAGTATCATCATCTGGGGTAGCAGTATAGTCATGAATTTTATTTGGTCCACGAGCTTCATCATATGGATAATTAGCCACAAGCGCTCCTCCATGAAGATTAGCAGACAACACAAAAGGGTTATTCAATATCCACTGAATGATAGCCTTGGTTTCGGGCTGCAACTAAAATCATAAACAAACATCACTAGCACGTAAAATTAAGACTAATTTTTACCATAATTAAGATAAATGGAACCCTAAAACCAAATGAAATAATATACAGGGTATCTGCTACATTTTAGATTTTCAAATTCATGACTTAACAAAGTTTTCTCCAACAAAAACACAACAATAAAAGCATTATAATAACATTAATTGAAATGATAGGTATAATCAAAACTGTTATACTTCATATTTATAGATTTTCAATTTCAAAAACAGAGTAAAGAAAGAGTGGAAGCAATAAAATAGCTGAAAAAAAGTAAAAAAGCAAAAAAAAATTTTTTTTTCTTCTTTTTTCTGCAGAATTATATTCTAAAAATACTTTTCTTGTTCATCAGAGAGGAAAGAAATACTCCTGATTTTTCTGTTCTCATTTCGGAATTAAAAAAAATATGCCAATGAGTGGCTTACTTCAGCTAAAATTTGAAATTGATAAAAATAAAAAAATTAAATAATAAAAATTCACAGAAGTTTAAAAGATAATTCCTTCTAGAAATTTTTTCACTTTCTTTCTTTTTTCTTTCACTTTTTGAAAGAACACCATATTTTTTAAAGAACATGATAAAACATTTTATATTTTAATAAAATATGACTGTGAGTGGGGATTTTGTTTCAAATTCAGATATGCAGAACACCATAAAATTGGGAGGGGGAGTTTATTTCCATTTTAAAAATTAGATTTTTTAGCCACCTAAATCCATGACTTTCCATGATTTTTTAGGGGAGATTTCCGTATCGAGATCTGTGGCAGAATAATCGCCAAGTCTTGAAAACTTCCGAGCAGTGGCCTGCGAGAAACTAAAAAAAAAAAAAAATTACAGAAAGGGAAAAACGTTGGTACTCGAAAGGTATAACTCGTAGCCACCCCGGGCAAACATCTACATGTTTTTTCCTTTAAAAAAAATTTGCAAGTAGGAAATTATAGTTGGCACGACAGATCACAATACGGAAATATCCCCATTTTAAAACAAAAAAAAAATTGTTAAAATTATGACATTTCATGACAAATTTTGTTCAATACCAAAATTCATGACTTTCTAGGTGCGCAGATACCCTGAATATATAGTCAAATCCTGTTAATGCAAAGTCAATGTGACTAACATAATTATTTCATGTTAACCCAATTTTGCTTCTGATGAGCTTTACAAAAATTGTGTGAGTTAATAAAGTGATGAATTTCTTCATATTTGATTGTATTAAAAAAATTGAGTCTACTAATACTGAAAATCATTAGATATGAATCACTGGATCTTTCAACAAAAAATAGAATAAATAACAATAATCACTAGATTTTTGGTATTAAAAAAGGCAAAAATATCAGGATGAACTCCTTCTCTTTTCTTCAAATCAGAATAAAAGTTTAATTTTATGTCACTAACAAATAACTAAAAGGTATAAAATCATACATGTTCCAAAATCAGTGCATATTACATGCGTTAAAAAGTGACTAAAACTAGACTTTCTGCAAGGTGCGGGGACAAAAAATCTTTGAAGTACATTTTAAGCACATTAACAAAATGCAAAATCAAAGATAATCATGATAGTCAAAGAACTGGATTATATTAGTCACCATAAAGAGAGGTTTCAATATCAGATGGTGAAAAGCCTGAGAATATCTAACAAAATGTAGCAGAGTGCAAGAATCTCACCGAACCAAGCTCAATATGTGGACATGCAAATATTTCATGGTTGGTGCTTTCATGCGCTCGGCTGGATGCCGATTGTGGCTGATAAATTGTGAAAACGTTGAATAGAAAAGCCTACTTTTGCATAATATGTGGTAAAAAAGAAGAAGAAATCTCATTTTGAAAAAGAGAAAATTAAATACTTTTTAAAAACACTCTTAAGAAAAAAGCATCTTTAAGAGATTTTAGAAACAAAAATTTAAAATAAGCACCTTTAAACACTTTTTAAAAACACTACGCACCATGTTCTTGTCACTACCAGTTACCCCACATCTTACTTATATTTTGTAATCCTATCATAGGAGATGAATAAATAATAAGGGTCTTTTTCTAAATCAGGGTGCGTAGCCAGATTTTTTCTACAAAAATAAGCACTTTCTAATATAAATCATAACTAGGATCTGTGCAGTAACAAAAGTTATTTTATTCTATCGTTTCAAGTTCGCAATTTATGAACATAAAATTCAAAAACATTTAAAAAACTTTACATAATTATGATAAAATAACTAGTTTCTGATAAATATTGCAAAGAAAATTATGAAAATCATGCATTTTTCGTAATTTAGAACGACAATCGATAAGGCAAAGAAAAAAAATCCCTTTTTAAAAGATAAAAAAATTAAGCACTTTTTACAAACACCAAATAAAAAGCACCTTTAAGGGCTTTTAAAAAACTTAAATCAAAAATAAGCACTTTTTAAAAATGCTACGCACTCCGTAAATTCAGATCAGACTTCTGAACTCCCCAACTTAGTTGACCTTGAACTATTCTTTCATTTAAAAAAAAAAAAAAAAATGGGGAAAGGATGGTTAAGTGATCATATCATTTTAGTTGTAGTTTTTTTAAAACTTTTTTTTCCGTGTTTTTATGCAAAAAAGGCATATTTCGAAAACTTCTCCGAGACAAACTTTCAAAGCATTATCACGGAATTTGAGAACTTCTCAAGGGCCTTCAATAAATTTCAAGAACTGTGGGAGCACTGATTTATAAATCCTTTGATGATAACTACAAATAAAACTCAATGAAAAACATTCAAATGCATGAATGCTTTACTCTCAAGTAAACACAGCTCTCTTCTAAACTAGCTGAACTATAATATGTAATATTTTTACTCACATTTATGTAAACTAAGACCTTCATCAGAAATATACATTGCCTAAAAAAAAGGTTAAAAACTTAATCCTCTGCTTTTTTCAAGATTGTTAAAATTCTCTGTATTGGATATCCTAAACTTGTTTTGGACTAGACAAGTGGGTTTTACTGTCTTTAACTGCCCTAAGTTGACTAAAACTCTCCTAAATTGACAAAAACTGTCTAAAAGTATCCAAAACCTTGAACATTGGTAGAAGGTAATTTAATTCTATATGTGGACCGTTGTACATATAATAATTACATATATTAAAAAATATTTGATACTTTTTATACAATTTGCTTTAACTTATTAAAGGAAAATAATATAATTTAATAGGAAAATATTTATAACTATTGAAGCTCCACAATTCATTGAACAACAAAATTAATACCTTATCCTTTAAATATGAATAAATATGCTTTTAAAACTGATAAATTATGTTTTTGCATAAGGATAAATAATACATGAGGATAAATAATGCAATATTTAAAAAAAAATAAAATATTTTAATAAAACAAAAACTTGTTTTCATTCTGTTTCTAGTTCAAAAATTAACCTTTTCTTTTTAACAATACTTTTTTAAATTGCGGCATAGTTTGAATAAAAGGTAAAAGGGTTTTGGGCAGTTTAAGAGAGTTTTGGACAGGATGGTTTAAACCGTGGATTAATCCATTCTATCCTAAACCCTGCCAACCCTGTTCTCTGACTTTTTCAAGTTTATCTTTTGTTATTGAAATCACATTTGAAAAGAAAAAAAAAAACAACAGAAAAAAAGTCATACACTGTGATTGACGACATCCGAAGTGAAGAAATGGTTAGTTCTCCTCTCTCCATCTTTCTCAGATAAGTAGGCAATAGCATTTAAATCAGGAAAATCACGATTTAAATCAACATTGTTGGCATTCTCTCTTCCAGCAAGCCAATCTCTTCCACCAGACTGAAATTGGAAAGAGCCCAATTAGCTAAAAATTACAACAGGATTGCAAATCAAATCGGAGAAAAAAATTCCCTAAACCCCCTGGCAGAACGTTACAGAAGTTTTTGCAGAAAGATTTTTCTTTTGAAAAGTAAAAAACAATTTATTTTTCTTTTCTACAAAAGTTTACACATACTATTTGATTTGTGCATTTAGATAATCACTTTTTGATAGGCTCCATTTACGACGATAGTATCGTAAATCTATGTAATGTTTCAATTGTATTTTCGGCAGATTTTCACGTGGATTTTAAATATCCCGACATATTTCAAACAATATGGAAAATTTGAATCGTGCAATTGTTTATTTACTTTTTAGGGCAATAACTCTATCAAATTTCTGACAGTTATTGCTATTGATTTCTCCAGAATTTTTAAATACAATATTATTTATCACAACAACCTCATCTCGAAACGAAACACGCATTTAAAGAACCCAATTCGCTTGATTTCCTTGTCGGTCTTCTTCGGCAATCACTACCTAAGGATTTCATGATTTTTAGTAATTTTTTTATTGTGATGATTATTTACAGAATGCAAAGAATAAATAATTTGTGTGTTCTCCTCACCAACAAAATGTAAGAATATCACCCATAATATTAGAATAAAAAATTATTCCATATTCAATTAATATATATATATACTTTTTTGGTAAATGCAGTGCGTTTGTTATTTTAAATAAATAACAATTGTTTGTTATTATTAAAAGTATCTTGCAGAAAGATATTAGTACTAGAGAGTTTTGTCGCAGATAGCTCAAAAAAATTCTGCCACAGGGTACACAAGATATTGAGAGGAAAAACAAATCACTGTATTTAATATCGAATTATTACGAATCTTTGCTGGTCCGTCAGTGGCTATGAGAATACCCGTATAGCTGAGGGTTAATAAGAACTATGCATTTAGGATTACGCATTACTAATATTAAATAGCCAATACGAATAATAGCTAATTTATCACTTAGGTTCACTTTCAAATGTGAATTTACTGTCTTGAAACACTGATGTTAATTCATTAGAAGAAAAACTATTCCCATTGTACTTTATTTCTTAGAGAAAATAAAAGAGCATTAAACACTTAACAAAATTTTAAATGTTTGATAATTTCCTTGCATTTATTAAATTGAATAGCATTTACTAAGTAGAAGAACAATATTTATTCATGTTTAACAAGCTCGCCCATGTAAACATGATTAAATAATGACTGATAAAGCTTGAATAAGCCAATTTTTAATTCTTAACTATTCTGAACATGGGTGCAAATTAAGTTCCGAGTTCATCTTCTAAAAATAGTGACTACATCAGTTTGCAGTCGCTACATTAAAAAAAAATGCAGTCAATCAACTCTGCTAACAATAAATTACTATTTTGTATTAAATTTTTTTTTTATAGAAGTCATAAATTTCAGCAAAGATCTTAAGATATACATAGCTGCCAACATGGATAGGAAAAAATCCAGTAGATATTATGAAATAATATAAATTTCATGTTAGTTGTTGCATAACGTACTAAATGTTTTACACATAGGAAATTTTAGAGATTTTTATAGTCATCAAAATAGAAAAAATACAATATTTACCAGTTATGAATAACATTAAATGAACTTGAAATATTACGTTTATTCATAATTTTGAATAGTAATAGGCATTTAATTCATCCAAGACGGTTTATTGCAGGGTTGGCAGGTTTTTGACATGTGACAGTTTTTGACATTTTAAACCGTCACGTCAAAAATCTCACTGTCAAAAACCTATATTTATATGTGTAGCATCACAGAGTAGTTAGTGTCGATTTACAGTATATTCAGCTTATTCATTTACTATGCTGAAAATTTAGTTTATCCAAATACTTGTGAATTTCATTTTGCTGAATACTATATAGTTTTGTTGAATATCTAAATATTCAGCTGTTGAATAATTACTTCTTGCTTTCAAGATATGCATTATTTGTATTCTTAATACAAGTGGAGAAAAAAAAATTAAGAGATAAAAATTGTTTTAAAATGATAAGTGTAATAATTATAAATAAATATAATAAACAATATGAATTATATTTATCATTATTCATAAATATAACTACTTTTAAATTCAAATTAACATACTGGATAATAAAGATATTCGGTATAACATTAAAAAAAAAATTTTATACACTTGTATCTTATATCAAGTTTGTATTTATACAACATAACTTGTAAGTTCCTTATAAATATTAGTTATATGTTCCTTATATGTCAAAAATGCATAGTAATAAACTTTTAATTTTCTTAAGTATCAAAAAGAAAAAAAAAATTTTTTTAAATATAAATATTTAAACAATTTTTGTGCAAAATTTTTCTGCACATGCATTTGAATATAAATTTCTGAGATTTTAAATCTGTTATTTTACCTTAATTTTAATTAAAAAATATTTTAAAACCTGCTGATTACCTATAGTATAATTAAATTTCAATATAATGCATGGCAACTGTTGGTAGTTTTGAAGTTTATATATTTTCTTGGCAAACTTCAGTTTTTGACATTTTTGACGGGTTTTTGACGGTTTAAACCAGTATTATACCCTTGTCATGTCAAAAACCACTTTTGGACGTCAAAAACCCAACCCTGGTTTATTGAATTTTATAAATGAGGCTCGCTTCATTATCAGGGGTCTGTCTAGGTTTTTCTGAAAGGTCCCTATTTTGTGAACATTTAGATTTAATTTGTGAAAAATTAAAAATTATATTAAAAAATCAATACAAAAGCATGGTAAAAATATAGATATATCGTTTCTTAAGGGATACAAAAATAAAATTTTAAGAAAAAGTATTTTGTGAAACTACCATTTTTCCTAATGTTGACATTGTAAAACTACCGTTTTATCTAAAAATTGAATTTGTGAAGGTACCGCTAAACGGTAGTAAATTCGGCCTGGACAGACCCCTGATTATGTACTAGTGACACTTATTTAAATGTTCTGGCAATCAATAATCTGCACAAAAATTCTATTTCAATAGGATTTTAAACAGATACAATTTTAGGAAATTTTCAAAAATGTACAAAAACCAAGAGAATTTCTATTAAACCAGTAGAAACTGAGAAAATCTAGTAGGGTTGGCTGTTAGAGATATAATAACAAAAAAATACCTTGGTAGCTATGTCCCAACCATCTGGATTCATTGAGGGCAAGATATGAATTCGTGTAATATTTATCAACTTTTGTATATCAGTATTTCCTTTTTTATATTCTTCACACAAATAACCAGCCAGAGTAGTCAGCAAAACACGGCCCAGAACTTCATTGCCGTGCATGTTTCCTATGTATTTGAACTCTGGTTTCACTATAACACAAAAAGAGAAAAATTATAAATAGTCAAAAAATAGCTACTAAAAGAAAATTTACAACTAAGCATGCTTCGAAGCAAAATTTTCCGTATCAAAACATTCATAGCACCTTTTTCATAAATCAAAATTTGTATGCAACACAAGTACCATACTACACCTCTTATTCCCAAGTATTAAAAAAATCTACATTTAAAAGTATTTCACTTATACTTACTTGAATTAAAATACAAATTTAACGAGTTAAAGCAACATAGGACTTTTAAACATTAAAAAATCAAAATAAAGCTAAAATCAGTTTGACAATTTATTTTTGAGAAAAATAAACCTATTAGAAAAAAAAATTAATGTAGCTAAAAATCATCATCATCATAGTTGGCCAGACAGCCCAATGTGGGCTAATGCCTTCCTCTGAAGATTTCTCCATAACGACTTCCAATTTATCTTTGATCTCAAATTTTTTTCATTATTTGAAAGATAATCAGACTCCACGGAATCAGCCCATTTTAACCGCGGTCTTCTGAGTGGGTCTAAAAAGTAATATCTTTTTTATTGTATTGTCATCACGCATTCAAATCACATAGGCCAGGGATGGCACGCAACACAATATTTTGGGCACTCCACCGATTACAATTGTTGTTGCACTAAGAATTGTTATTACACAAATGTTATTACGCTACGAAGCATACGTAACAATTAAATTAAAATTCACAAAAAAACAAACAAAATAATAAACAATTATTAATAAAAAAATTAAAAATTAATACTAAAAAAAGAATTAACAGTAAAAAACAAGCTAACAATAAATAACTAGCAAAAAATATCAACAGTCCTGCTTAAACTAACATCTTACAACCTAATATAAGTTATTGGTAATCTAATCTGCAACAACAGAAGTCACACTGATGTTACTTTAAGTTTAATTACGTATATAACTGAGACATTGCAAAATGTATTTTTTTTCAATGTAAATAAAGAGTTTTAAGTTGATAGTATTTAGTAATATTATTTTCTCAATAATCACAAAGTCAAAATTATTTGACGGCACGTCTATGATCTCATTAAGCAATTTTTTAGAGAAAATGGCACGTTGGTGTATAAAGGTTCGCCACCCCTGACATAGGCCATCCAATTCATTTTTATGTATTTAATAACATCGGGATGTTTATAAATTTTGCACAATTCAAAATTATGTCTCAAACTATTGTTTTCATTTACACCATCAAATATACTCCACAAAATCTTTCGCTCAAATACTGCGATACAATTTTCCTCCAGTTTTATCATTGTCCAAGCTTTGGAAGCATATGTCAAGAACAGCCTAGCAAAAGTTTTGTAAATGAAGAATTTTGTTCTTCTAGAAAAAAAAACTAGATTTAGAATATTACACTACTTCATTATAAATACTAAAATTCAATTATAAATAGAGAAAAAAAGTTACATAACTGCAGCATCGCCTTTAGCTTTGAACATCGCCAGGGTGCATAGCCAAATTTTTCAACAAAAAATAAGCACCTTTTAAGCACTTATCAAGTACTCAAAAAATATTTTTAAGCACTTTGAAAAATATAATTAGACAGGTTTGGCAAGTTTTTTACAATTGATGGTTTCATCCAGTTTTATACACAATGACGAAGATGATGGCGCGTCACAAACGATGAAATAAACAAGAGAAATGAAATTCTCTAACACTAATAGAGAAAAAAAAATTGACAATGTTGGTCCCTGTAATCAGCAAAATTTCGAGAGATCTTTCAATTCTTTTACAGAGGGTGGAAAATGAAGTCTGAAATTGAGAATCTTTTGCAAAATGCACCAGGGTTGCACATGCGAGTCAAAAATTCTTACCACTGAATCCAGCTCAGTATACGCAAGTATTTCATCAAACATGTAAAACAAATGGTGCTTTCATACACTACAGACCACCGGTATGCCGAAATAAATTGGGGTTGAATTAATTGTGAAAATGTTGAATAGGACAATATCTTTTTGCATAATTTGTGGTGAAAATCAACATGGTAAAGAAAAATATCACATTTCAGAAAAGGGAAAATTAAGCACTTTTTAAAAACATCAATGGAAAAAAGCACCTTTAAGGGCTTTTAAAAAACAAAGATAGAAATTAAGCACTTTTTAAAAACGCTACGCACCCTGATTGCAGATAAAAGATCTTGCATCAAATAAAAAAAAAAGCTTTCTTTTGTAGTCCATAATTGCCCAAGTAGACTTAATGCTCTCTACTAGCTCAGTTTTGTTGATAGGGGCAACTTCATGTAGTTTTTATCTTTACTATCTCCTACATAGTTCTGCCTATAAAATGGGTATTAAGATCTAGTGAATTAGCTGGCCACAGTAGCACTGTAAATTTGTATTGCTATAAACAGAACCTAGTTGATTTTGATCAATGAAATGAAGGTAAATCTTGTGGGAAGAAAAAAAATTTCAAAAGCTTCGGCCAGAGATAATAGGAAACTGTTGGGGTGTAGTTAGAAAAAAGAAAAGATTTTAGAGAGTACAATACTTTACTTGTATCAGATATTTATCAAGATATTCTTGAACACTACATGATTACATGAAAAAACTCGTTTAAAAATGTCTCTATTATCAAAAGAGATTTATCTCCACTTCATACATCAAAATCAACTAGGATCAGGCTGGAGAAATGCAAAATTACCGTGGCTTGCTGATTCACTAGATCTTAGCTAATTTAAACAGGCAAGATTAGATAGGAGATGGTAAAGAACCCTGTGGCAGAATCGCAGAGACACGAGGACATTGTCACAGAATATTACAGAGTATTTGCAGAATGATTTTTCTTTTGAAAAGTAAAAACTTATACTCTTTTTTTCTCACACAAATATACATGCAATATTTGAATCATGTATTTAGATAATAACTCTTTGTCATGCTCAATTTACACTGATAGTATCGTAAATCAATGTAATGTTTCGATTGTATTTTTGGCAGTTATTGACTTTTATGTGGTTTTTAAAATTCAGTCGAACCTGTTTATCTCAAGTCTCACGGGAAAGGCGAAAAATTAGAGATAAAGAGGTTTAGAGTTATACATGCACTTTAAAAAAATTAAATTTAACTAAGAAATTCTATTAAAAGTGATTTAATTGTTTTTAGTAGAAAAATATAAACATTTCTTTAAATTAATTATACCACATACATCTATTTACATAACAGTTTTTTAACAGACAAAAAAAGCTTTCTTCTAATTTGGGTGGAGAAGTTGACTTACATGATCATGGTAACAAAAATTGAAATAAATATAAGCTTAGATTTTCTAATATATCGTAACTTACTTAATTATTAATTTAAAACTCCTCATAATTAAACAAAATATAAATTTTGTTAATAGTAACAATCGGAGCCCCTGCTTTTCTAGATCAGTGCCTAAGTAAAATTATTTTTGAAGAAAGGAAAAAACATACACGAGATTTTTGAAAACTTATAGCAATCTATGCGAACACTTTAGCAGGCACCCTTAGGATTAATTATCACGTTTTACAAACAATTAAAGGGCCAAAGTCTGACAGGCCAGTAAACATATGGACTTACATTCTTCGTGTTTACCAGGATGTTGAGTGAATTCAATAACAACTAGAGGCCATCCATTTACACTTGACTCCTTTAATTCATATACTCGAGTAATATTAGGGCATTTTTCGTGGATTTGTATCAAAAAGTCTTGAAGTTGGGCATTATTCAGATGCGTCAATCCTTCTTTCCAAAAAGATTGATTGGAAGATACTGTGACGATTAGAAAAAACAAAAGGAACATTGTCAAACAAAACTCTTACTGATAAGTATTGAATAAAACAGATGCAAAAATAATTAAATTTATATGAAAATTATTGAGATGAGTTCGAATAATTAAGTTTGATAATGAAGTCTCTTCCTTTTGGCTGTAACTATTGCAATTGCACCGATTTTCGGTAAAATACTTGCACAACTATTCTGCCGATTTCTTACAACAGCGCCACTATAGAGAAACTGAAGTCAATCATGAACTCGGCTCTTTAGTGCATTTGACATGTCTCCATGTATAATAGGCTGAGCAAATGCGCATGCGCTCGAAATGCTTGAATAGAATATGTCCCTCACTGAAGAATTTCAGAAAAAGTAATTGTTGTGGAAAAAAGATCGCAGAGTATTACATTTTACGGGGAGATTTTCGTACCGTATTCTGTGGCAGAATAATCTCTAAGTCGTTTGCAACTTCCGGGCAGTGGTCCTCGAGAAACTATAAAAAAAATAATAATAATAAAAAAAATCACAGAAAGGAACTCATAGCCCCAGGGGCATATTCGCAATCGCCAAGCTCATGATAATTGCAACCGAAGAAAGCACGAATCTATTTGATAAGTTAGTACTGTACTCAAATTTTAATACAGTTTTCAGATTTCAGCAGATAAATTTAAATACTTAATTGACTTAAATAAAAACTTAATTTTGAATATAATTCTCTGTTGCTTTTAGATCTAGAGTAATTGTTTTTAGTAAATCAAAAAAAATTTCAAAATATTATTTTTTTATTGAAAAATAACGCATATTAATTGTAAATATGAAATGACTAATTAAAAATTTATTTAAAAAAAAGGCTGTAACAAATAGGGTACTTCAATTAGCTTCAATTAGCATGCGAAAAATCGCCAAAAATATAGATTTTTATTTTCTTAAACATTGAACAAAAATAGACGTTTCCCAAGTAGCACAGGGATATTGTAACAGCTTTAGTCTACATCGACCGACATTGTCAATATTGGCGAAAATCGACATCGTGTGTACGATATTGTACGATTCCCGTCGATTTCACATTAAATGTGTGTTTATATAAAACTTTTCATTTTAAACTTTATTGTGTTCTTAAATCAAAATTAATCATTTAAAAGACAAAAAAAGATGTCAAATTGTTATAATTCCAAAAAATAAATTTTAAATATAAATTTAGAGACATCCGAATTGCTGAGAGATATCGATCGACGTTCCCCAACGTTTTTACAATATCGTACAATATTGTTTCGCGATATTGAATATACGTTATAAAAGGGGTCCATTTCTACGATATTGTACAATGTTCAAAGCTAAGTTTTTACAATATCGTTTTTGTGAAATGTGCTACTTGGGTTGCAAAAGAGTGCAAAAAAATTGAATTTCCTTGCATTCGGCTAAACCTGTCTTTCTCAAAGAGGGCGATAACGCCCCCTTGCGGGCGTTTGAAACCTAGAGGGGGCGTTAAGGGGCCCAGAAAAAATGGGGGGCGTTGATGTGGGTTAGGGGGGCTGTTAGAAAACCGAAGGAGAAATTCCAGATCGTTCATGGGCTGCATCTACCAGATGCTGGGTGCATTGGAAATAAACGTGACACATAGGCCTTCTAAATACAAAACGAACATTTATTCAACAAAACAAACAGCTCCTTGGTCAGAGCTGCTTCTCCGACGGAATCATAACATTGAATGACAAAATCTGACGCCAAGCGCAGAGGCGCGCCTCGCCAACACTTTACTCACTGCACTTCATTTCACAACAGGGGCGATGTATAATTTGTTTACTTTATATAGTATTTTAAATGTCACTAAAATTAAAACTTACCAACTACACAATAACGAATAATTAGTTTATATTTCTATCCTGTATGATGTTATAAAAACTTAAAATACTTAACATAGATTTCGTAGAATAGCCCGCACACTGTACGCAATCAAGTTTCTGCCGATAGATAAAGGAATATGATCGATGATAGTTAAAAAATTAAGCAATTTTACCTTAATTACATTGCACCAGAACAAAGCGATGAAGCCTTCAAGATCATTTGAATAAAATGCATCCGGATAAGAAGGACAAAAAAGTAGCCTATTTTCAAGATCTGGAGAAGAAGCATAATGCTCAGCCAAGTGTATCGAAACTTTTTTCGATGGCTGCTAAGCAAGACGATGACGGACTTCGAGCTTCATACAATATCTCTCTGTTAATTGCACAAGCACGTAAACCACACACCATCGGAGAAACGTTAATTTTGCCGGCAATAAAAGAAGTTATAACTACTGTGCTCCATAAACATCCAGATATAATTCGAAAAATTCCTTTGAGCAATAGTTCTGTCTAAAGACGAATTGATGAAATGGCTGAAAACATTGAAAAGTCATTGTGCAAACGTCTGAAGACTAGTAAATTTTCAATTCAGTTGGATGAGTCCACTTTACCAACTATTGAAGCATTGTTGTTGTCTTACGTGAGATTTATTAAAGATGAAAAAATATGTCAAGAACTTTTATTTGCTAGAAATTTAGAGACAGACACGAAATGAGAAACCGTATTTAAAACACTGGAAAAGTTTTGTGATGAAAAAGGAATTCCGTTGAAGAATATTCAGTGCCGTTCCTGGGGTGGCGAACGCCTGCGTGCAAGAATAATTTTGTGCGCCCCTATATACTATGCTTAAATTTTGATGATAAGACCAATTTTCATAATCATTTTCAGTTTGAGGTTTAAACTGAATAGTTTCCTTATAGACTAAAGTCACTTTAGTGTAAGTGTTTGATTATGAAAATGGGCGTAATAAAATAAAACAACGAAAAAATATGACAAAAAATTTATTTTCGACATCAAATAAAATAGACTATTAATGTACAATATAGGTCATAAATAAAACACGTCCATTCGGAAATTAACAAAAAATCTAATATAACTCAATTCACTCAACTGAGTGAATTGAGTTGAAACTCTCAAACGGCGCTCAACGCAAACAAATCCGTTAACTTTAAAATGTGCAAGATCTGTCTAATACCTAATTATCAAATAACAAGGTAGTTTTAGAACATAACACGTTTTGCTTTTGCAGATGCAAGCTCATTGATCATTTCATTGTGATCGATGGCTTCACATATTTTATTTTCGATTGAAATCCGAAGATCCTTTGAAGATACGCCGCCGCCCGTAAGCCGAGTGCCGACAACAGATTTTTTGCTTGTAAATTTCAGTGTAGAAGTTACTTCTTATATTAGTTTACTGTATCTTCCTGTAATCAAAGTTTACAGCTTTGCTATAATTTGATTTTTAATAATTTGCTATAATTTGATTTTTTTCGAATAGTTGAATTTGGCGTCCCTTAAATTGGGCGCCTGCGTGCGGGGCATTCGCTGCATACCCGCCAGGAACGGCACTGAGAATATTATATCAGCTGCTACAGATGGTGATGGTGCTCCAGCTATGACGGGGTGTCAAAAAGGCTTCATATCGTACTTAAAAAAGGAAATTCCTGACGTGCTTGCTGTACATTGCATTATACATCGACAGCATTTAGTTGCTAGAAATTTAAGTGAACGACTATTTCAATCATTGCAACATGTCATCAGAGCAGTCAATAAAATCCGAAACAACTCTTTAAATGACAGATTATTTAATCAGCTTTGTGTTGATAATGATGAAGATTTCAACAGATTGAACTTTCACACAGAAGTCCCAAGTAGCACATAATATTATATAACATCAGAAAATTGGTAAAATCTAACGTTATCTTGCACAACTTCTAATATTAGAAAGATACAAAAGGTCGCTGTTTGCTCAGCCTTATAAAATATTAGATTCTATACAAACTAATATTATCTAGCGTTCGCCATAATATTATTTTGTATTAGTTTTGATGCTATATAATATTAGATTTTGAATTTTCTGATATTATTTTGTTTCGCTTTTTATTTTTTTGGAGTAAGCAAGAGGAAGATATGGATAGTAGTACAATAATTCGGCGATATAATTTTACTTAATTTTCTGTATTGTTGTGAAGCAATAAAACATAGAACNGGCACGGTATCGGACCTTAATATTGACCTATAATTTTTAAATTGGACCACGTATTATACAGAATACAGAAATACTAAATAAAATTCTATCAGTGAATTGTGCTACCTTCCATTTTTCTCCTCTTACTCCAAATTATATCTTATGTTCAGCTGATTTTTTTGAATATTTCAAACTTAATTAGGAGATAATATTTTATTGCAACTTTTATTGATATTTTTTTCTTTTATTCATACAATGGGTATTATTAATAGGTCAATATTAAAGATGTATTAAAGTAGGTCATTATGTATTAAGTAGGTCAATATTAAAGATGTTTAATATTGACCTACAATATTTAAGTTGGACCACATATTATATTACAGGGTAATAGTGTACCCTACCACGGGAAATAATTATAGGTGAATTAGGGGACACACTATGTATATTTTAAATACTGCAATAAAAAAGGAAATTCGATGACACTTTTCAATGCTAACAAACGGCACGATATATGACCTTAAAATTGACTTAATTCACAAAATTGCTCAAAACGAGGAAATTCGCCTTCTAAAACCCTTTAAATCGTCGGAGTAACTCTTCAATTGAGTACTGGAACCCTTCTGCTCTAAATCACTGATTAAGTCCTCGGAGTAACTTTGTTTTGCTTAAAACTTGATCCCAGTACCTCAAGTCTCCGCTTAAATCATCGGAGTAACTCTTCAATGGAGTACTGGAGCCCTTCTCCAAATCACTGCTTAAGTCCTCGGAGTAACTTTGTTTTGCTTAAAACTTGACCCCAGTACCTCAAGTCACTGCTAAAGTCCTCGGAGTAACTTTCTTTTGCTTAAAACGTGATCCCAGTACCCCAAGTCACTGCCTAAGTCCTCGGAGTAACTTGATTTTGCTTAAAAACTTGATCCCACAACCTCCAATTCTCTAATTATTGCTGGGAATCACTGATTTTTCATTAAAACTTGATCCCAGTAACACAATTCGCGACTTGAAGCCGTGGGGAGACTAATTTTTCATTCAAACTTGAACCCAGTACCTCCAAACACCGTTTAAATCATCGGAGTAATTTTGTTTTTCTTAAAAGGAAGAAATAAGCCTTCTAAAAAGCTTTAAAAATTCTAAGACATTTTTCAATGTTAACTAACGGCACGGTATTGGACCTTAATATTGACCTATAATTTTGAAATTGGACCACGTATTATATTACAGGGAAATAGTGTACCCTGCAACAGGAAATAATTATAGGTCAATAAGGGGGTACACTATGTATATTTAAAATAGTGCATTAAAACAAGGAAATACGAAGACTCTTTTCTATGTTAACTAACGGTAGGGTATCGGACCTTAATATTGACCTAAAATTTTTAAATTGGACCACGTATTATATTACAGGGTAATACTGCACCCTACCACAGGAAATAATTATAGGTTAATTAGGGGGTACACAGCGTGACCCCAAAGTTTACTATGTATGCCTATGCGAAATAGAGTGTTCTGAGAAGCTTAAAATGAAGAAATAAGCGTTCTAAAATGCTTTAAAAATTCAAAGACATTTTTCTATGTTAACTAACGGCACGGTATCGGACCTTAATATAATATATTAATTTATATAATATGATAAATGTATATAAATAATATTTTTAATTATAATTATGTAATAATAATTTTTAGTTACATTTTTTTTAAATTAGTTTTAGAGTGTTTTTTTGTCAAAGTCCAATTTTTTCCGAAATTTTTCTAAGTCTCGAAAATTGTGGAAATTCTTCTAAGTCCGGCGACGGGAAGTCTGAGACGAAGCCCGAGCGAGGCCGGAAAGGCCGATATGCGTTTTCCGTTCAAATTTAAATTTCCTCGGCGAGAGGCCGGGGATGCGGACGTCGACGGCCACCGCTCGGGAGAAAAATCTTTCGCTTGGAACATGAACTTTGTGCGGGACTATACATGTGAGGCACAGTGAGCGTGTCCCAAGAAACGCAACGCTCTCGTCTCGACAAGGGCGAGGGCTCGCCCTTGTGGTAAAGTGCTTGTGGTAAAGTATGGGTACATTTTGTACATGTGTGGGTACATTTGGTACATGATTTGGTCGAATGAACAGTGGTACGAAGATACCATCTGTGGGATAATGACTGAAGGCCTCTAAGTCAGAATCCCGTCTAGTCACTGCAACGATACCGTTCGCATCCATCGCGTCGATGGGCAAAGTTAGCCAGGGCGTACATCCGCCCCTTGCAGGCGGAATACCCCGGCGACGAGGCCTGTTCGATTTGGAGCACTCTAGGGGGCGCCTAGACCGCGCGCTCTCGGCTCCGAGTCCAACCCTGTGGGTGTGATGCACGGGTGCCAAATCGTCTGTAGACGACTTAGGTACTAGTCTGGGTGTTGTACATAGTAGAGCAGCTACCATACTGCGATCTATTGAGACTCGTCTGACTGGAAGGTTTGTAAAGCTTCATTGAAGCTTTAAAACCTTTAAAAAAAATTTTTTTAAGACCTTATTTGATCGTGTGTGCGAATTTCGTACTTTGAATCGAATCATTAAGTAAATTCTTTATTTATTTCAAAAGACAATATTTGATCGTGTGTGCGGATTTTGAACATGAACTTTGTGCAGGACTATACATGTGAGGCACAGTGAGCGTGTCTCAAGAAACGCAACGCTTCGTCTCGACAAGGGCGAGGGCTCGCCTCACGGAAACAAAAGGTCTCGGCTTTTCAGCGAGTGGCTCGGACGTCGTTCCGTAGCCGCGCCAGCTTGGAACTTTGTGCGGCATAGTGAGCGTTTAAGAAACGCAGTGCTCTCGTCTCGACACAGACGGGGGTTGCCTCACTGAAAGCGACGGCAAAGGGTATTCAGTAGCAGCTCGGACAGTAGTTTGTAGCCGCGTGGAGACTGAACAGTGATGGAAGCATTTACGAGGTTTTCTGCAGTTCCGGCGCGAGCACGACTCTCGACGGCAGAGCACTCTCGCGTCCAGGCGTTGACGCCAAGGGGGACGCAGTGAGTCTCGAACCGACTAGAGGAAGAAGGCTCTAGTTCGATCTGTGCGAACGGGGACCCGGCCGCGATATTCCACTTTGACTAACTCTGGGGCACTCCAATTGGCACTGTTTGGCGCGCGAATTCTTAACACGCCAAATCAATGAAACTTACGCTTTCTCGAATCTTCAACTGCTTAAACTTCAACCGTTACTTTATTTTCTTTTATACGAGTGCAAGTAGTGTTTGTTTATGTAATGATAGGTGGAACTCGTTTGTACAAAAGTTTGTTAATTTAAATGAACAATAAAATTACTTTGGATACATAAATTGTTTTTTTTTTTTTCGTACGTTTTAGTTTCACGATAATTTTTTCATTTAACGCAACTTCTTTTTTAGTTCAAGTAACGTGAAAATCGTGCAATAATTAATTATACAACTAATGTTTGCATTTACATGGCGCAACGCAATTTCATTATATTGACAAACAAACATTTCTACCATTCACGATTTCATACGTAGAACTAAATGTTGAAAATTTATTTATAAATTTGCTACAAGAATAATTAATATCAGGAAGTTTAGCACTAAAAAACAATTACCATACCTTTTATAGAACTTATGGTTAATATATATATCTCAATCAGTTGAAAATAATTCTTGGTTTCTTCTTTGCAATTTAAAGAGAAAAAAAAAGACTCATCTAAGTCAAACTTAAAGACTTGCTTGATATAATATGTTGGTTCTCATGTGAATAACGATGTTTGAAAATTTCACACGAATAGTACTGATTTCTAAAAATTATTGTTCTTTTAAATGGATTTAGTTTTGAAAAACTATTAGTAAGCATAATATTTGGCAGTTTCTTGTAAATTTCAAAAATAAGACCTGAATTAATACAAACAATTATATCTATGCCAATTATTAAAATATTTACTTTAATATAGTTACATTAATTTTAAAAAATAATTAAAATCCAAATAAAATTTTTTTTCTTAAAGTGTTAAATGCAATCCAATTTACTGTAATGGTAAATAAGGATAAACTAATACATTTAGTAACAATTTTAATTTAATTTAAAACTCAATACAGAAAAATAATGCATTATTTTGCTATGATTACGTTCAGTTTCTTAAATTTTGCTTAGTCTTTATTTTCATTTCATCCAACTCTTTTTACCATCAAGAAACAATGGTTCGCCTCAAAAAGAAAGCCCAATTCTTAGAATGTTCTCACCGTTCCATTATGAAATTATCAACATTTCATTCTAGTAGAAAGTTAAAGTCCTGTAAACAGTCACTAAACATTTCTTTCTAAGTAAATTTCCTTACTAACTGATATTTTCCGTTTTGTGCAGTTATGACCTCATATATTAACCTACAATGTTCGAACTAGATAATTCCCATTTATTAAATCTTTATGTGAAAAATAAAATATTGTAATTATACACTAATTAGGGTTAGATCAGATTTAATTTGCTTATAGAGTAAAAAATTTGAAACAAGACTTGATTCATAAATAAAATATATTGCTTAATTATATAGTGTAGCATTTAGGCAACAACTAAATGTTGAGAGAAGTACTAAATATGCTGCATTTTTATGAGTACATTTTAATTTAATGATTATGTACTAAAATTTAAATAAAATGACAATTGTTTTCTTTCATGTACAGGTATTTCTTTAAGAAGTGCTTTTTTAATTTTTTTTTCATGAATTTAGATTATCTTGAATTTTTAATTATAAAACACTCTTGAAATCATTTGTCTTTGATTATGTTCAGGGAAACTACAATTTTAAAAAATTTATGAAATGAAAAATGTATGGTAAATTTGAATTAATAGTGATAATGCAAAAATTATTTTATATCTGGCTTATTTGCCTTATATATATGAAATTGATAACCATCTGATTTCTTTTTCAGAATGTTATAATAAATATTTATATATTATTGTGGAGAAAAATGTGCAGAAATGGAAAAAGAAATAGCATGGAAAAAAGTTGTTTCTAAGAGGAATATTCAATTATTATGTCTTTAAAATATAACAATTATAATAAAGTGGTAATGATAATTCTTTGGAAAACTTACAAATAGAATCCTTTATTTTAAAAATCTGTTCAAACTATAATCAATGTATAGTATTTTGGCGAGAATAGAATTTATGAGTCACAATTGGTAACCAAATATTTACCTGCATCTTGGTTATATATCAGGTATTCAACCAAACAACTATTTTTTGGATCTCTTATCAACATTAAGCTCGTATAGAGGGGAAAAATTAAATAAAAATAAATTAAATGTCTTAACAACATAATATTTTTGTTCAGCAGAAGAAACCACCATTGTAATGTAATGCAAAAATGTAGTAACCTTATTTAAAATATTACTTTAAATATTTCTAAGAGTTTAAGGAAATAGCAAAATTAAAAATTCTAGTGAAAATCAGGACAATTATATCGACCATGATATAGTAATAACTTTAATAATGTGGTCCAAAATGCCAACTTATATCAGTTTGTCAAAGAAAAAAAGTTTAAAGGTTAAATGAACTAAATATGTAAATTTAATTCCCTAAAACAATAAAAATATATTGAAAAAAATTTTAACAAATAAAATCAAGCAACTTAATAAGAAAAAATATGTTTTATTATAAAGCAATAATAAACATATATTATCTTACACAATAAAGAGCACAATGAATGGTCAGAGCAGAATTTTTTTTCATTTTGCTGATCTTGATTTTTAATAGATTACGCTTTATATATACAATTATCAAACGTACTATCGACATAAAAAAAAAATTTTTTTTTAGAAATTTGATTACACTAGCATTGCAATCCATGTTTTCCGCTGCGCCATCAATTTTTCGAAATTTGGAATGATGACACTTCCATGGTTTACTGTATAGCCACCTAAAAATAAAGACACATCAATAACTCATATCATTACACCCATCCAAAAAATAAAGTTTAGAAATACACTGTAAATATAATGTAGGTATTAAAATGTGAATTACTAATAATATTTATGAATAGAATTAATATAGTAATATAGCTTTCATATTTTCTTACAAGGAGATATCAACAAGGTTTTCTTCAAGTGTTGATAGATTAAACTTCATTTTATGAAGTTTAATCTATCTAAGAATTGATGACTGAATTATCAAAATAATATATTAAGTAATCATAGCCTTTTTGAAGTTTTTATTATTATTATTATCTATGCTATAACGTTACATGGAAAGATTATAGTAGGATTTTTATCAGCCGGTTAATAAATTTTTATTCTTTATTATTAGCACCTTTTTTATAAGAACAAATTCATAGAATAGCAATCTCATCTTAATATGTTATTTAAATCTTTGAAAGCATATTTCTAATACATTAAAAATATATTCCCATGTGATATTTCTTAAAATTTAATGATATATGACTGACCATATGAGAGTTTAGTTTTAGTAAGAGGCTTCAAGCATTTTTTTTTTAAACAGAGGATAAGAATAACTAATTATATATGAAAACGAAACTAGAACAAAATATTGTGTTTAAAACTTTTGTTTATTATAAATTTCATTAGGCTAACTTTAGTTTACAAATATAAATGCAAGAGGCTTTCGTTGATACATATTTTTATAAAAAAAAATTAAAATTAATGGCAAAATGAAACTTACCTCGATAAATTTCTGCGATTGTAATAAACAATCCAGCTACTATTTGAAACTTTACCATAGTTTCTGATGAATCGATTACTCTCATCCTCGTTCAATTTTGATCTTAGAATAATTGTTTCATCGTCTAAAACCAGAATAAATTTCTTCTGTAATTCGTGAAGGCAATTATTTTTATAGATCTCCATAACGAAAGTTTAAAAAGACGACGTTCCTTGTTTACAGTGAAGGGTTGCCACATACGCTTCAACCGGTTTGTACATAGGCACGCATAACAATTACGCAGTTATCGCGCAGTTTGGCGCAGAAGTGCCCCAGAGTTAGTCATAGTGGAATGTCGCAGCCGGGGTGCCATCCCTTCCACAGAGGATCAAAATTGTGATGGCATGTCTTCGGATCATCCTCCGGGATGTTTCCCAGACCGTCGCCAATAGGCCATTGTGCAGCCATACTGTGACGTAAAGTAACAACAACAACAACATGAAATTGGTTTTTCTTTTCTTACTTACTAGGTAGATTGGTACTTTATTTATGTCGCATTAGAGCTGTACAATGGACTATNCAAAATAATATATTAAGTAATCATAGCCTTTTTGAAGTTTTTATTATTATTATTATCTATGCTATAACGTTACATGGAAAGATTATAGTAGGATTTTTATCAGCCGGTTAATAAATTTTTATTCTTTATTATTAGCACCTTTTTTATAAGAACAAATTCATAGAATAGCAATCTCATCTTAATATGTTATTTAAATCTTTGAAAGCATATTTTTAATACATTAAAAATATATTCCCATGTGATATTTCATAAAAATTTAATGATATATGACTGACTATATGAGAGTTTAGTTTTAGTAAGAGGCTTCAAGCATTTTTTTTTTTAAAACAGAGGATAAGAATAACTAATTATATTGAAAAACAAAACTAGAACAAAATATTGTGTTTAAAACTTTTGTTTATTATAAATTTCATTAGGTTAACTTTAGTTTACAAATATAAATGCAAGAGGCTTTCGTTGATACATATTTTTATAAAAAAAAAAGTAAAATTAATGGCAAAATGAAACTTACCTCGATAAATTTCTCCGATTGTAATAAACAATCCAGCTAGTATTTGAAACTTTACTATAGTTTCTGACGAATCGATTACTCTCATCCTCGTTCAAATTTGATCTTAGAATAATTGTTTCATCGTCTAAAACCAGAATAAATTTCTTCTGTACTTCGTGAAGGCATTTATTTTTATAGATCTCCATAACGAAAGTTTAAAAAGACGATGTTCCTTGTTTGCAGTGAAGGGTTGCCAGAGACGCTTCAACCGGTTTGTCCATAGGCGCGCATAACAATTAAGCAGTTATCGCGCAGTTTGGCGAAGAAGTGCCCCAGAGTTAGTCATAGTGGAATGTCAGCCGGGGGCACCACCACCTCTGAGATTCGAAACGCCGCTTCGAACACTCGCTGAACGTGAAAGTAACATGGTTGGTCCTGCCAGTAGTCATATGCTTGTATCAAAGAAGGAGGGAAAGTCTGCTGCTGCCGCAGCGGTAACTCCAGCTCCAAAAGCGTATATTGAAGTTGTTGCGGTTAAAAAGCTCATAGTTGGATCTTAGTTCCAGACGGGTGGTCCGCCCACCGGTGGTCACTGCCTGTTCTGAGCATTGCCGCCGAAATTGTCCGATGATCTTTACCGGTTGTCGTTCGGTTTCGGCAATTTTACTTTGAAAAAATTAGAGTGCTCAAAGCATGCGTGACGCATGAATAATGGTGCATGGAATAATGGAATAGGACCTCGGTTCTATTTTGTTGGTTTTCGGAACACGAGGTAATGATTAAGAGGGACAGACGGGGGCATTCGTATTGCGACGCTAGAGGTGAAATTCTTGGACCTTCGCAAGACGAACTACTGCGAAAGCATTTGCCAAGAATGTTTCCATTAATCAAGAACGAAAGTTAGAGGTTCGAAGGCGATCAAATACCGCCCTAGTTCTAACCACAAACGATGCCAGCCACCGATCCGGCTGTGTTCCTCAAATGACACGCCGGGCATCTTCCGGGAAACCAAAGCTTTTGGGTTCCGGGGGAAGTATGGTTGCAAAGCTGAAACTTAAAGGAATTGACGGAANAATTTTAATAAAGCTTGGTTGTAATTTCATGAGTTTTCGCATAGCCCATTCGAACGGTTCAAAGTAGAAAGTTTTAAGCAAAATACCTCGATACTTTGAACAAGTCTTTCATTTTTATGTATACGTAAATGACCGAAATTACTGGTGGTTGACATCCACCGGTGAATGTTGACAATCACATATTCGCTTTGGTAAATGTTCGAAATATATACTATGTCTAGTTAAGAGCCACTGCCCGATATACCTTACACTGATGTTATTTTAAGGTTCAATGCCAGTGCTCCAAACATCTCCTAATCTACACCCTAGCGCCTAGACATTCGCCGATGAAAGTCGACATTCTCTTGATTTCGGTTATTTTGCTTTTTTTTTAATTTTCTATGACTGTCGTTGAACAGAAGACCCAATTTAGATTTTACGACGACTAATGCCTTGAAATTTTGAACCAAATCAAGAAGACAAGGAAACTCCTGGATCAGAAACCCCAGATGCAGGATTTGTTAATGGAACATGGAGGACTTCGAGATTCGACAGATTTAACGTGCATCAGTCACACGGGGAGTCTACGGTCGGCGGAGATCGAACCCACGACCTGTTGGACATGGGCCAAGTGCCCTGCCAACCAGGCTATCTCGGTTCCTGATTTCGGTTATTCACGGTAACATCGGTATACCTCAAACCAAAAATATTTTCTTTCTCTGCTATTAAAAACTATAACGCCGGGAAATTAAAAGATGTTTTATGCGACTTTCCGGTAAATTCAGGATTTAATATTAAATCATTCAGAAACCGATGTTATTATGCTGCATTTGGATAAATTTAAAAATGATAACAGTGCAAAATTTGCCTTTTGTAGTTAATATATTCATGTTTCTTTTTCAATAGTTCTGTAAAATAATATTCAGGTTCATTTAATCAAACTTTATCAAATAAAGAACCAGAAACTCATGTTGCTGCAAAGGGTTAGTCGCTTCTTTTAATTCAGACGAAAATCCTTATCTTTTTTTCAAAAATCAGATCATCTAAACCAGTAACACTATTTACTCGAAGGTCAGTAATTTGAATTTTGACGTAATTTGTACGTATACAAAATTGAGTACTTATTATTATTTTTTTTTTTTTGACAGTTCACATAATCTCTACTTGAAATTTTATTCAAAGTAAATATATCGGTTATGACCTACCTTTTTATTTTATATTTTATAACCATCGTTGAACAGTCAACCCAAATTTGGGTTTATGACTACTAATGTTCAACTCCGTGGCCCAGTCATTTTGAACCCAATCCAGATGACAAGGTAACTCCTGGATCAAGTATGTGGAGAAATTTGCCTTCGTAACTTTTAGGTGAAACCAACAGGCATTTGCGTTACATAGAGTGGAAAACCACGAAGACCTCATACGGTCAGCCTGATGGCAAGGGGACTTTAACCCATGATCCGTCTACCACTGAAGATATTTTACACCAGTACTGTGGGTCTCGCAAACCGGATGCGGAAATTGCATCGACCAGCCATTGCTGGGATTCGAACCCGGTTAGCTCATTGGAAGGCAAACACTCTATCCCCTGAGCCATCGCTGCTCATGACCTACTTTTTATAGTTTTCATGACTTTTTGACGCACTTGGTTCAAAATCAGCTTCATTAATAGCTGTTCCAGTCCAACAATTTATTTGCGGAATTAGGAACTTTTTTTTTGCACATTTGCAGTATAACAAATCGAGGAAAAGTTGTTTTGGACAGTCTTATTTGTATCAATTTAAATACGGTGTCTTCTACTTTTTTTTAATATTTGATTATTCGATTTCAACTTTTAAAAAAATTACTATAGAACATATATACCAAAAGAAACTGAGCTTAAAGAAGAAAACTTAAAATTAATGATGCTCTTAAAGCGGTAACAGCTTTTTCATAAAAGCTCACACAAATTATTTTGCAATAGAAATTTTATTTTAGTTTATGAGAGGATGACCCATTTTTAGGTTTACGACTCTCACACTATTTTGGCGCGTTTTAATTTTGGGTTCGGTTACAACCCAGAAGACAAATGAATTCCTGGATTGAGCATTGGGAGAAACTAAACTTCGTGGAGGAATTTACTGATATAACTTACCCGCATTTGCATTACAGGAAGAAGAAAGCCACTGAAACCACCCTTATTTAGCGTGACGAAGTGGATATTAACTCATGATCTAGCTACCACTGAGGATATTTTAAGTCAGTACCTTGCAAGCCAAGAACTGAATTCTTATGGAACAGCCATCGTTGAGATTCCAACCAGGATCATACCTTATTGGGAAGCTAGTGTTCAAACAGTAGGGCTCTGATACGAAAATTTCTTTTTAAAGAATGAACGACATTTTTATTATAATTATTTTTTTATTTTAATTGTAATTTTTGGACTATCGTCGAATAATATATGATGCGTGGACATTTCGAAGTTTTTTTTTAAAAAAAAGTTTGAGTTATATCAGTTCCGCTCTAATAATCACGTGAAAATGCTTGAATCTTATTATTATTTAATTTCTGCGACGAGAACATTGTTTTCTAAAGAGAAGCTTTGGTCTTAGGTAATATTTGATTAGATAATAAATATAAATAACAAATAATTCAAAGTTTCCCTTAATGCTCGCTAAACGCCAGCAGTGAATTCTCTTTCAGTCACTTCACCATCTGCTATTACACCTTCCGTTACTCTAGCTAATTAAATACATTTAAAATTTAAAAACTGTTGTTTTCCCACCAAAATGTCTCAAAAGGAGAAACTATTCAATCAAAAGAGAGAAATATCATCAAATTTATGAAATATTTAATGTTAAAGAAATATTCATGAAGATTGCGAAATAAAATTTTTTGTCATGCGATCGGCCAATAGCAACCTTGTTCAGGATTGTTCACGTCATTCCCTTTAAAAAGAAAAAAACCAAATAGTATATTCGGATACCACGTGATGAAGGCGGAGCCAAGTGCCAACTCTAGGTGAACGAGCTACACACCGAAGAGCCATTACATTACGACCCACCTCCATTTATAACAATGGGCTCGCCCAGATTTTCAAGGTTTTTCGCCTAGGAACAACGTTTTCATGGGGCATAATAGGACCCATAATCCTCATAGAACAATCCCTGACGCCTGTAAGCTACTTGAACATAGTTGCATACCAGGTTCACCCATTCATGCAAACAGTTTTTCCTGCGGGGGATGGTGTTTACCAACAGGATAATGCACCATGTCATAAGGGTCGAATCGTCATGGATTGGTTCGAGGAACATGATTTTCAAGTCATGTCTTGTCCTGACCTTAATCCAATAGAGCTTTTGTGGTCCTACTTGGAAAACCAAATTCGTGCTGCCATGCTACCCCCTCAAAATGTGAGGGAATTGCAGGACCAGTTGGTGAGCGCTTGGTACCAGATACCTCAGACTACCTATCAGCACCTTGTGGAATCAATGCCACGGCGGGTGCTAGCAGTTTTGAGGGCTAAAGGTGGTCCTACATGTTATTAGCAGGGTGGACATAATGTAATGGCTCTCCGGTGTATTACGTATTGCTTTATCTAAAAAAAAAAGGTGAGTTACCTAAAACACTTTATCATAAAACTTTCTAACAGTTGTACAATTTTCCCGATATTTTGTTAACTAGATCGAACTTAGTCCTCATCTGTCTGGATTATCAGTGTTCTACTGTAACGTAAAAACCATGTCTTACACCTTAGAACTTAGTAGATTGCATGCTGTAAAAATGCTATTCGGAGCTGTGTACATTTTTATTAGAAGACATATACAATACATACGCAAAAGTGTATTCATTTTTTCACACACTGCTTAGAGTATAACTTTTGAATCTTCCAGTAGAATATAATTTTTAAGAATCTTTGGTACATCAAGCTGTTCGACACCACCCGGAAGATGAAGGCATGCCGCAAGTTGTCGACGAACAGAACACCTTGAAAGATGGCCGAGAGATCTTGGTCTTTTGGGTGAATTTACATTCTTAAGTACATGATCCTCATACCAAGTCCAGGCTTTATGCAGTATATTGACATCATGTGCACCGGTTGGTAAAACGACTAGGTCACTCTTTTTGAAGTCCTCCTCACACAAGAATGGATCTGTTATGCTGTTCCACAATAACTTGAGAATGTAGGCTGCTGTTATTGAAGGCGCCATTTTGCTTTTTGCATAAAGAAACAAATATGTAGTTTGTAGGGAGAGGAAACTGGTAGAACTCCTGCCAACGTTATCATCTCTAATAGTCACTTTACAAGAAAATCTGTGAAAGAAAAAAAAAAGAAACTTTTAGAATTGTCAAACAACATAACTCTTTTTTCAAGTGAAGTTAAACGAAAAGGTAAAAACATTTAAACTACGCAAAATCCGAGTTGACAAACACATACTTTGTAAAAAAGAAAATAGCAAGAAGCATGCAAATAAAGGTGTTAATATTCAAGTTTACTGGTTTTAGGTTTGGCAAAAACAACTGTTAAACTTTTCAAGTTCTAAAAACTGACAGACTTTAGAAATCTAACTAAGTTTGAAAATTTATTAAATAAAATAAAAAAATAAGAAAAGTAGTTTTTTGTTAATTTTAAAACGGAAAAAAAGGGCTGTATCACTGTTATTGGATGGTTTCAACAGTAATAAAAATAAATATTTAAAAAAAAAATTAAACAAATAAATAAATATACTGTACTAAATTACTTATAGAAAATTAATTGCTCAATGTCACTGTTTTTCACTTCAAATACGAAGTTCAAAAAGCTTATCAGGAGTACCGTCCTCATTTTTTGCATTGTTAAACAGTAGTGTATGGAAATAAATAGTTCAAAAAAATTAAACCTGAAATACAAAATGCTTAGTTTAAGAAAAGTTAAAATATTCCATGCAGACAAAATTACAAGACCAGATTATAAAATTTTTTTACATAATTATTTCATTTTTATCAGTATAACATTTTTTTTAATAATTAACCTGTTTCTTTTATAAAAAACTGTATTCATTATGTATTTAATTTAACCTCTTCTCTCCCGCTCCCGCCAAAATGACGAGGTGCCATTATTTTTAAGATGCATGCCTGTAAATATGACCCGTCATATTTCTAGGCAAGATTGTTCAAGAGCAACAAGCCAGAGAGTTAAAAACAATATATTTCTTGCTCCCCGAATCATGATTATTTCTCAATCTGCACGCCAGACGTGCGAAGAAATAACACTAACATAAAGGGGTTAGTAGATTGAAAATCGGTTGTCTTTCAGCGTAAATAACTTTCTGCAACAAGTGTAAATTTTAAAGGCAAAACAAAAAATTTAAATGGAATTAGTAGATTCGCTCCCAATATATTGAAATTTAAAAATATTTTATCTTCTTTTCCTCTTTAGCAGCACAACAGCCTAGCTCAGGCCAAGGCTTTCTCAGTTTGCCTCCTCCAGACAGTTTGACTTGTAGCTAAATTTCTCCATCTATTCACTCCAAATACTTTTAGGTCCTTCTCCACACAGTCCAGCCACCTTGTTGCCGGTTACCCTACCTTCTTTGTACTAAACATGTCCCAGCCCTTTTAAGACGAAAAACATGTCCCAGCCACCTGATCCTGTATGACTTAATAACTCTCAAAATATTGGGTTGTCTATATTTATTGTACACTTCTTGACTATACAAACTTATCCGTGTATTATTTTTTATTGCTGCCCACAAAATGTAACCGAAGGATTTTTCTTTCAAAAAGGAGTAATCTATTTTATTAAGCTTCCAAGTCTTGATGCCATACAAAATAATTGTTCTAATAAAACGTGAGTGAGTAAAAAGGCAATTAGGGGAGAGTCGGGTAGCCCCGCCCTCTGTCAATTTCATATGTATTGAATATTTTTTCAAGTCAATGGGCCACCGGACATTAATTGTTATATTAAAAAAAGGTTATTTTCAAAGTATTTATGCAGCTGTTAACATGGTAAACAATAGTTTTGAAAATATGTTGAATAGAGTAGTCATGAAATTAAGAAAAATTGGTTGAATGTTTCGATTAAACTTCATTTTAATACTAAAAAAATAATTTTTTGTATACATACAGCATTAAAGTATGTAGTAAAGTAAAGTTTAATTTGCACAAAGAAAGAAGTCTATATGAGAAAAATTGTTCGAGTAATTACAAATTTACAAAAAAATTGGATTTTGGGTAGCCCCGCTCACATGAATGTCGGGTATCGTATCACCGCCCAATTTTATTTTGTCGATAAATGTACGGTTGCAAAGATTATTATTTTATTGTTTCAAATTTGAATGTTACATACATTTTTAACAACAAATATTGTTGCTATTAAATTATTGTTGTTAAATGATAGAATTCACTAAAAGTATATAAATATGTAATAAATAAAGTAATTTTGTGATAAAAATGATAAANGTTAGGTATGAAAATAAAAAAAATTATGATGTGCTGTAATTGTCCATTCACTAAAAGTATATAAATATGTAATAAATAAAATAATTTTGTGATAAAAATGATAAACGAGATTTATCTATTGTCAATACATTGGTCATTTTCATTTACACCTAAAAACACAGTCAAAAAACACAATTTTTGTAACTGGGCGGGGGCGGGGTTACCCAACACATTTTGAAAAGAGCTGAAAAACATGTTTTTTTAAATTTCTATTTTTTTAAGTTAAACTATTCTTTTTTTCGTTTATTCCTTTTGCATTATTTAATTAGATGATAAAACAATAGAAACATACAAAAATATTGATTATTACTCAATATATACAGAAATATAAGCAATACTCCTTAAGTGGGCGGGGCTACCCGACTCTCCCCTATTAGATCAAAGATTTTCAGTGTTCCCTATATTTCACGCAATGTAGATCAATAAAATAATCTAATTTTAATAAAATAATCTAATTTCTTTTATTACTTATACAATGCGGGAATTAAAAAAAAAACGTCTTCCGAATAAATTTTAACTACTAGGCGTACTACTACTAGAACTCAATCGAAATTAATCAAAGAAATAACTTCAAATATGGTAAGTAGTTGGTGCAAGCGCTATTTTAAGTAACGAAATTTGATCTTGATATTTGAAAAATATAAGGGGTAGTTGCAATCTGGGAATTGTGATCCTAATAGTTTGACCAGCTGCTGAGTCGAAAATTTTAATCCCATTATTGTTTTAATAACTTGTTAATCTTACTTTTCGCTTATTTCGCCTTAGAAATCTATAAGTGCATTCAAATATTTTTGCTCACATTTATAAATTTCGTTTATGCAAAGATAATTCTAAGTAAATAATATTTTTAATAGCAATTCATGATTTTTAAAACAAAAAAATTTATTTAATAATAATCGAACGGATTTTCCAACTAGCTACGACATAAATTAGTTGGAAAAAAAAACAGTTTAAAAAATAGAAAATAAGTGAAAATACTTACTTGCGTAGAGCTGTTTTCAAATAGTAAAACTTCTCACTTGAAAAAGATAAACATTCAGTTTTTCCGAACCTAATCATTGGAATAAAATTTTCCAAGCTCATAAATATAAAACGATTGAATGAACAGTAGGATATTGCGTCAACTTCTCTCCATACATTTAATATATCTATTTTAGATTCATGAGCAGCTTTTAATATATCCTCTAACATTGAACTGACATCAAAGTAGTAATAGTAGTAACAGAAATTTTCATTACAAATCAATCTTAAAAATTCTATGAACACACTATGGTGAACACGATTTTTAGAGGAGAGCCTTAAAAGTTCTAAAATTTTCTTATCGACCGGGCGATTAGTGTGATAGAAACTATATTTCCCGATATCTAGAGATTTTAAATAAAACTTCACAGCAGAAGTTAAATACTGACTGCACTGGTTTTTTTCATGGAATTTTATCAAAAACCTACCGCACCACACCAACACCCTAAATGAACAAAATATATTTTTCAACTTCTCTGCCGACCAAATGTCATCATCACTATCTGGTTCCATAATGGACTCTATCATTTTAAAAATACTCTTCAGAAATCTTTTCCGAGATATGTCTCTTGCATTTATATAATTTCTGTTTTCCATAACAGCTATTTCTTCACGTTCTTCTAAAAAAGCAATATCCTCTCTTTCAAGCCCACACTGACATATCTCTCCCTCAGCGCCATTTTCTTGCAGATGAAAAGCTTTGAAAATAAGAAGGCAATCGCTGTAATCCAAACAAGTGGAAGGCATAGTAAATTGGGATTTTAAAACAAAAATAACAGCTTCAAATATAGCTAGAATATTCTTTAAAAGCTTTTTAGCAATATTATTTACAGTTAACTATCAAATGCTTCAGATTCTGGAGTAATGGAAAGTTCTACATCCAGGTAATCCTGTTTCAAGCTGCTTAGCATCATTAGAAAAGGTCACAAAAGTTGACCACTGCCCTCAAGTCCCCCAAGACACATTGTAAGGTCCCGATATTTAGAGTGCATGAATAGAAATGATTCAGCAGAGGAATTTGATTGATTTGTTTTAAGAATTTCTGGAAACGGTATCCAGGCGCTCCTCATAACCTTTTAGCAAGCAGTGCTTGAAAGAAATTTTATTTTGTTTTATTTATTTGGTATTAACCCTTATCTTCCCCTGGATAACTATTGTGTTACTCAAAACAGCCCCCCATCCCCTGAAAGGACACACCTGTTATTAATAATGGTCAGTTGCAGGGAGGGAGGAAGAACTCCCAGAAAGCATTGGGGTTACAGGATGAGATTGGCATTGACATATTTTAGTGTCCCTTCATTTCCTGTTAGAAATCTTGAGGTCTATTAGAAATTCGCCAATTCTCTCAAAAGAAGTTGCATACTCATACATTAGAGGTATTTTCATGAAACTATGCACTGGGTATTTTTATGTTATTTTTAAATTTAACTTCTTATGGACTTCGTTTTAAAGAAATGCATCCCAGTAATCAAGTTTTTGTGTGTGTGTTTTGAGAGTATTTATGCAAAAAAAGTCCCTAAAATTGAACTGAGATGGAAGAAGTTAAGAAAAAAATTTATTTCCTCGGGTAGCAACATACACACATATTTTTGAAAGAATTGAACTTTTATTTATCTGATTTTTTGAAACATATGCTAATTACAAATAAAACAGCAACCAAAAATTAAAATGAATGCCAAAAAATTGCTTTTTTAAAAAAGTATATAAGTCTTCTGAAAACATTATTTTCAATTGTTGTTTTCAGTATTTTTTATGATAACAGTTTTTTTTTCGAAAATTTATCTCTTAATTTCCTTAATTTGAAGTACATCGCATGCAATTAAAAAATAAATTAAAAGTTAATGAAAATCTAGCGAATTGAAACGTTGTTCAAAAAATCGAATAGTAGTTCAAAAAAAAAAGAATTAAAAACGTAATTAGAAAAAAAAGCATTTTTAATAATTCAACATTTCAGAACTTCCACGTAGTTTGATAAGCAAAAAAAATTAAAATGGGAATAATATTTTAAAAAAGTTAATTTATGCATAATATGCTCTTGAAAAAGTATCTAATTGAAATGGAGAAAATTTTCAATCACTTTCAATTCAAGCTCTCGCTTCGAATCAAATTGGCCATTAAATTCATAAAATTTTTATAAAGCGAACAACAGACCACCATTTTATGTTTCATTTTTGCAATGTGATCTTTTTTTTTATTTGGCTCCTTTTTTTCCCGGTACTTTTCAGTGATGATTTTTTCAACCTTTTACGAACGTCTAGGGTTTTAACGATTTACTACATGCTCCATTAACTCGCGTTTTTAAAGAATACCTATTGTTTCGAAATGGAAACAAATCTTCATGGAAACGAATTCATAAATATTCTCTATCAAAGTTAAATATTTTGATTATATTTTGTGATATCTTTTAATTTCTTTCTTCTTTTTTAAAGAGAAAGCCCTTGCTCTACAAATATTTATCACTTTTTATCATTCAACTTATCGAACGTCACCACGAAAAAGAACTCACATTGTATAGAAATAACATTTGAAGTCCTTTATTTAATCTATCGATGTTTCACTGTGTCATGGTTATTGTTTTGATCATATGATAGAATTCGAACAATTTTACTGCGTTAGTACTTGAAAACTTATTTACCTACATAACAATCGAATCGGTTAAAATAGGTGTTTTATTTTTCTCAGTTCAACAAAGGTAAGTAAGTGTTTCTTTTTACAAAAATAAATAAATAAAAATGATTTCTCAATTAAGTATTATTAATTTTCATTTTATAAATTTATTTTGCTCACACTCTTAAAATTGTGTTTCATTTTACTTTTAAGGAGGGGTGGATTTATAAATTTTTACTAATTTTATAGATTGTGGGTATCCCTTCCTTCTAACTTGAGGGTTAAAAATCCGAATCAGTTTTAAAAAAGGATTTATTTATTTGGCGAAAGTACATTTTTGTAAGACTAAGATACAGACTATTTTCTGCAAATCAAAAAATCTTTCCTCTTTGCCCTAAATGCCAACAAAACCAGGCATCACCTGAGCACATCTTGAACTGTTTAGGGCTGGACTGGAATGACATTCATTCCTCTCCTATTCTGGTTTCGGATTTTCTGAATGTCAACGGATTCATTGATCTGGTCTGACCCAGTCAGACCAGATGGGAATTAGCAACAACAACAACATTTTTGTAACTTAAGATATAGTCTGTATCTTATACTATCTCTGGAACTACTAAGTTTGAAATATAGTTTGTGAAAATCCTTAATTTTAATCAAAAATTATTTAGGTGTTCTGTTTTTCATTTCAAGTACGGCAGACACTACACACTACTACTACACTATAAAAACTGTAGTGAAATATCTATCCGGCTCTGGTGTAGCAAAACTACGATATAAAAATCTTATTTTTTGTCCTTACATGTTCGTCTGGGGGAGCAAAGAATAAAGAACAACAAGCATACAGCTTTAGCCCTTTAATTCCAAGCTACTTACCTATGGGATGTGGATTAACCAATATCATTTTTGAGTCGTGGTGGCTCAGGGGATAGAGCGTTCGCCTTCCAATAAGGTGAACTGGTTCGAATCCCATCGATGGCTGGTCGTGCACCAACTTGCACCAAACACATTGCAGCCGTAAAATATTCTCAGTGGTAGACGGATCATGGGTTAGAGTCCCTGTGTCGTCAGGTTGACTGTGGGAGGTTTTCGTGCTTTTCCTCTTCATGTGACGCAAATTCGAGCTTGTTCTCTCAAAAAGTCCTTCATGAAGGCACATTTCTCCCAATACTTGATCCAGGAGTTTCCTTGTCTTCTGAATTGTGATCAAAATTACTAGGCGAAGGAGTTGAATATTAGTTGTCTTAAACCCAAATAATTGGGTCGGCTGTTCAACGATGGTTATAAAGTAAAATAAAATACCATTCTTTGCAGATTTAAAAGGTACAAAATGCACAATATTCTTCACTGGTGTTTATTTTGAAGATAAAGTAGCATTGCTATGTATTCATTACATTAATGTTTTAATGAAAAAGCCATTACCCGGTATTCTATACACTGACTTTTTTAATTTAAGGTCTATTTCTCGGTATTTTCTACTCTAATATTTTTTTAAAATCTAAACTGTGCAAAATTCGCAGTAACTTGTTGGCAAGAAAAAAAGAAAGAAGAAGAAAATAATTCAGTGCGGAAAAAGTGAAAAAGTAAGAAATATAATGATATGGAATGAGAAATATTGCAACTCGACCAAACTCAGAGCATCGGCATACTTTTAAATGCATTTTGTTATTGGAAAAGTTGTATTTTATGTTTGATTTCCTAATTCTTTAATCGAAAATAAAAAATTCTATATTTTGTTCGAAAATACATAGCTGTATTTGTTACAGAAAAAATGACGATACATAGTTTGTCGATGTAAAGAACTCCCCCTAACCATTCGTCTGAAGTGGTGGCGGTTACTATGGTTGGGTTATTACTTAAGACAGGATTTGACTCGGGTGATCAGTGATAGAAGAGAAATCAGGTGAGAAAGAAGCTCCCCTTTTGAAATGCGCTATTTCTTGTTTCCATGGCAGCAGATGGCAAACAATGAGACTTCATGGAGAGGGGAGTTCTTTCTATAGACAAACTATACATCCTCTATTTTCCATCAACTTCAAAATATATTTTTAAAAAAAGCAGTACAATTACATATAAAAATAGTGGAATTAAAGGACTAGGACTCATATATTCTTGCTACCGAAGATGAAAATATTTAATAAGAATTGACAAAGAAAACAATTAAATTTTGATTGCAAATAAGAATTAACATAAAAAAGGTTATTTCTTTTTTTCACCCTCTAACCATGCATGGTTAGATCTATAATGATAAACGAATGAAACGGAAAACGCATCATTTTCACAATTACCACCAATGGAAAAATCCCACACGTCCTACGAAAGTGATACATCCTGCTTTCTTTGTTTTTAACTGAAAAAAAAATCTTTACCTCTCCTCTCACCTGACAAAATAAAAGTATTTCCTCACAAAAAAGTCGAAACAATTCTATTTCACCAGGTTTAAAAAGAAAATAAATATAAAAAAAAGAAAGAAAAAGAAGAGATTCATAATAAAGTACTATCGCCATTAAAAAAAATTCAGCACATTCTCCTAAATTGATACATATTTCTACCCAACGTTTTTTCAAACCTAGCACGAAGGAAAGGCACACTACTATCGTAATAAACGAAATATCATAATAAAGAAATGCACGCTCCCTCCTTTATTATTTTATTCCTTTAGTCTACTCCCGCAGTGGACTGATCATAGAGACACGGTTCAAAGTAGAACACTGAAGTTAAGCATCACTGGTTGCGGTCAGTTAGCGAAAGGGCGACCACTTTGATCAGCCTGCGTAGGAACCGAGGGTACGTGGTATAGGTCCTCGTTAAACTGTTCTACCGTAAAGTGCTCGACTTCGCGTGCAGGTCATCGGGCTACCATAGCAGGGGAATCACCCCCTCTGCCGAGAATCAAAGTTGCGATGGCATGTCTTCGGATCATCCTCAGGGATGTTTCCCAGACCGTCGCCAATAGCCCATTGTGCAGCTCTAGTGCTACGTAAATAAGGTACCTACCTAAAATTTATAAGTATATTTAACGTCGGATATGTTTTTTTTTAACAAAATCTTTGTAATTTTGCTTTCGATTTAAATAAAGTCTTGTTTATACTTTAGGACCAAATTCAAGCTTAAAAATTCAATACAAAATTTTAGCTTTTATAGAAGAAACGCAAATTTTAATTCGTAATTTTTCATCCCTATCTTTATTTAAGAACTAAATTGCGATTCACGCGTACCTATACTTAAAATATCAGGTTTTTGTAACTGGTACGTTACTATAGTTTTATCGGTATCACTTTGCAACTCGTTCAAAAAAAAAAAAAAAAAAAAAAAAAAAAAAAAAAAAAAAAAAANAAAAAAAAAAAAAAAACGGGCCTTGCCCATCTCTAAAACTAAAAAAACCATAGATCCAGAAGCAGGGATTAATCGTTTCTTCTACTCTAAATCTTGTTTGCAAAAAAGTTATAATCGGTTGTGGATTAGTATCGAGCTCGTCGATCTCATCAGGATTGTATGAACAAATCACAGAAGATAGGGGATAAAATATTATTTTACTCCATGCTCGGCGAAATAAACTAACTCAAACTCAGCGGCGCGACAGCCCATAGAGGGCCAAGGCCTACTGTGCCCATCTCAGTTTTCTTGACCTTGGACTCTGGGGTGAAGGAGCAGATGTTCCGGTTAGGTGGTCAGCCGAACGTGGAACCCCCAGTGTTTAGTTCCCAAGCATGCTTGGTACTCATTTATCGACCCACTGAAGGGATGAAAGGCTGAGTCAACCTTGCACGGCCCGAGGATCGAACCAGTGACCTGTGGCACGACAGAGCGAAGCGCTACCGCTCAGCCACCGGGCGTCGACGTAATAAACTAAAATAGATAAAAATAAACTACCTACATTAAAGAAGTAGTTCACGAAATTGTTATTTTATTTTGTTATATCATACTTTCAATGGGAAAGTTATTTAAGAATTAACCTAATTGCATCGTATTTTTCAGGAAATGACTGTTTCCAAAATACAAGTCATCATTTTGTTTGCGTCAGCTGCCGTTGCTATATCGACAAACTGCCCTCCATCTGAAGATACATGGCCATGTTCGTGCCACGATAAGCAAGTTGATGCTGACATCACACTCTACTGCTCTGACCGAGACACGAACCTGGGACAACTGAAGAAAGCACTGAATACGCTTAAAACGAAGAGAAATGTGGGTGTCGAACTTGAAGAAGTTAAGCTCGGCAGAGTTCCTTTTGATTTTTTTAAGGGAATCGACATAAAATATCTTCACTTGTCGCACTGCGATTTAGACACCCTGGCTGATGGTGGTGGCAAACCTCTTACAGGATTGGAAGACAGCTTAGAGGTGAATATTTTATATATACGGTCACTTCGAATGTTTGAATGCTTTGCGTCAGAAGGTCAAGTTAAGCCTACCCAAGGCAACATTTTTGATGGTTTTCCATTAATGGACCAACATAATCTTGATGGTAACCATCTGCAATTCCATCATGAACCATTATATTTTTGATGGTAACCAATATAAGTAATCATCGCCCCGTTGTAAGAATTCGAACTGATTTATGATGGTCCAACATAAGAACAGCAACTTGTTTTGTTGGTTTGTTCATGCTGAACTATCAGAAATTATTATGAATTCGGGCTGATTTTTGATGAGCCAACTTAAAAAAAAAATTATTTTGATGGTATATTCTTATTAAACCAATAATAGTAATTAATAATCATGCAATGCATACCGTTATGGACTATCACACATTTCCATCATCCCAATGTAGGAATTTGAACTGATTTTTGATAGGTCAACATAAAACAAACATACCATTTGATGGTATCAAATATATATATATATATATCTAGTGCTACGTAAATAAGG